AGTTCTGAGGACACAGTTTAACAACACAGCTCTTCCTGAACACATTGCTGCTTTGTGCTTTACCAGCTGGTGCACTCCTTCATTTCTATTTCTGTTCCAATGGTTTGGAATTATCAGTATCTCCAAACCAGATAACAAACCATTTTAGTTTAGGGTGTCACCTTCCCATTTATCTTTCTCAAGGAAGTGAAAAATAAAATACAGTCACATAATTTCTCTAGGCACATTCACATAAAATTTTTTCAAGGCTTTAATGTGTATTGTGTATGTATTTTCATAGTCTCTGAGCACACCGTGACGAGAAAATATTCAGCTGTTTCAAATTATGGATGCAGAACAAGGATCCAACGCTGCAGATAATGAGAGAAAAAAGCTTTAAGCAATTTGAAAGAAAACAACCTCAACAGGCTGTTATTGATGAACAGAAATTTTCTTTCCTGTCACAGGCCTTTTAAAATTCTCAATAGTTATGTTGACAATTCTTTCATCTCATTAGACCAATTACAAAAGGTGTTGGTCCCCTTAGTGCCTTGTTATTGACTGCTATGGTTAATGTGGCTACTAAACCTTCAGTTAATGAAACACAGCTCTGGATTTATCCCTCCCCAAGCAACGGTCACAGAGGTTGGACAGTTACGGAATGACCAATACGACCTTGGGAACTTCTTATCTCTTCCATTTACAGTCCAAGGCACTGAAAAAAAAAGTCACGTTACTTACCAGCTCTATCAGAAGTTTCACTTCTATCTTGGTAGTTGTGCTAATAACGTTGACTGGAAGAAAACAATGCAGTCAATTTCTGTTCAGATTTCTTCCAGGTTTCAGAATCCTTTTTTTCAAACACTAAATGCCAACTCAAACTTATTTCTTCAATGGCTACCAGCATTTTCTTATATAGTCCAATAACTATTCTAGAACAGTAGACATCTTCTTTCCCTCATATGCTTGAAAAAAATCTGATGCCTCACTTTTATTTGAAAATTAAGTTTGTGTAAAGCTGCTCAAACCTTATACCAATTCTTAAAATATTAAATAGAAATTAACTAATTTAAAGGAATATTTATTTTGGAACATAAGTCTCAGCTGCAATTCTGCCAGTTTTGCTCACAATTTTCATGTTCCCCATCCTAAATTGTCATATCAAACATTCACATTTTTGGGAGTCTGCTATCACAGTGACAAACATAAACAGATTACGCAGCAGTAGCTGTAGCATCCCAAGAAGCTACACTTGCTATTCAGGTATCCAGTGCCAATGAATCTTACAGGGCAGAGACACACACATAAAAATCAGAGAAGCTCTAAGGATTCAGTGAAAGTTTATTTACCTAAAGCCCTCTGGCCTCCTCCTTTCTGTCTTTCCAGCTAGTTAATCTGTAATTGCACAATTCAGACAGTAAAAAAGAAACATGCAAGTCGCAAAACTCTCAGTGCTTTTTCATCATTTACAACAAGCAGTTGAACAAGGTGTAGCATTCCCTAGGTACTTTACTAATATCAATCATATCCTGCTTTTGCAGAAAAATAACAACTGCAAGTTTTGCATAGAGAGAAGAAATTATAAAACTCCTCCTAAGCAGAAAATGCCAGAAAAAAAACCCCTAATATCTGCTACAGTTAACTTGAACAGAAAATACTGCCTAGCCACTAGATATAATTTAAATTATTTATGTCAAGGCCAAAAGATATTTAGTCTAAATGGCTTTTAAATGACTCATTATACATTCAGTGTAACACTTCAGAAAGGAAAAAGCCACCAACAAATATTTTAAAGGTGTTAAAATGGTCACTTTCACAAATATCCCTCTGTCCAAGAAGTCCGAGGATCTGCACAGTTAAATACAGAGTTTTTTCAGTCCACAAAAAACCCCAGAACAGGAGTCCTCTCAAACTTCACCAGATAGCCTTTGTGACAGACAATGTCTTCTATGTACTGAAGCCTTCTCACAAAGAAACCAAAGATAAAAGAAACTGGGTATAAGAAAAAACGTTGCCTGACTTACTAGACTAGGTGTTTTTCTTAAGAGCAGGTTCATCTAAATACACTGCTTTATTTGAAATAATTCAATTTAATTAAATATTATTTTAAAAATATTTATAACATTTTTGTTAGGTTTAATTTTCTGCTTACCAGGTTCAGCCTGAGACCTAATTGCAAAGACCCCCGAGACCATACTACAGGTTGCTGTTGTGTATGTAACTGTAGCAACAGTAAAATAGAGCAAGCTCAGCACCTTGAAACAAGATTTTTGAAGCATCTTTACTTTCCTTAAAGCTCAACTCGCATCCTCATTCCTGTGACTTTACTTCCTCTTCCCTGCAGTACACGATATTCCGTGTCAGTACAGACTGTTATAGCTGAGTGTTGGGTCTCTGGTTTAGCCAGTGTCTGTTTGTATGTCTTCAGATCTGGAGACGCTCTCTTCACCTTGAGGTTCCCAAATAGTGCTCAGTAGGCATCTATCAGGCCCTGGCAGAGTGGTAAGTTATAACATAGCCAGGGCATCCTTTTTTCAAATACTTAATCACTTTCTTCAAGATCCTGCACTTGTTCAGGGAAGTCCCAGACTGTTGGAGGTGACAACCCTTGTAGGTGCCTGCCCATATTCTCCCACATGCCTTGCTACTCATACCACCTTGGGACATACCCCTGTGTGATGTTCCTGAATAGTGAATTAACCTTAGGAAAAGCTGGAAACATATTCTTGAAACATGATAATAGGAATATTTTAGTTACCAAAAGATGCTCAAGATACCAAAGAGTTAGTGTAAAAAGGCAGAAAACATCTACCCCACAGAAAAAGAAGGGGAAAGTGCCTTTCTTTGTTTCATCCACCAACTGGTTCTTGGAGGAGAACATAGAAAATGTGTAATTGTTCATTGTCTTCATGAGATGGTTCCCAAAGTACAGGGAAGGCAACAATGCAGGGCCCAAATACCAGATTAGGCTCAAGGCCAATGCTTTTATCATAGTTCTCCCAGGCAAAACACAACCAAACAACACACTGCACAGCAAATGGAAGAAGTCAAATTCAGCCTTTAACAAGCTCTCCAATTTGATGCAGAGCAAAAAAATAGGGAGTAAGGCAGTGATTAGATAAACCAATGCTGTCAACAAGTAAATCAACAGCACAGCCACCAACTGTTACACAGATAATAATTATCAGTTCCCTCTAACACGCTGTGGTCAACCTCTTATATCAAACCCTTCAAGCCCAACACCTTTGGGTGCCAAAAAGGACTATTGCAGTTTAACTTCACCCAGCTGCTCAGTCACTCCTCCACAGTGGGATAGGGGTCAGAATCAGAAGGGTAAGAGTGAAAAAATCTGTAGTTTAAAATAGTTTAATAGGTAACAAGACCCAAAACAAAACCAAGAAAAAGAAATTATGCGAAAATCCCTCAACTGCTCACCACCAGCTGACCAGTGCCCAGCCACTCCTTGAGCAACTGTTGCTCTGGCAAACTTTCTCCATAGTTTTTATTGCTGAGCATGACATGATACAGCATGGGATATCCCTGTGGTCAGTTGGGGTCAGCTGTCCTGGCTGTGTCCCCTCCCAACTCCTTGTGCATCCCCAGCCCGCTCACTGGTGTGGCGATGTGAAAAGCAGAAAAGGCCCTGACTGTGTGCAAGTGCTGCTCAGTAATTGCTAAAATACCCCTGTGTTACCAATACAGTTTGCAGCACAAGTCCAAAACACAGCCCCATCCCAGCTACTGTGAAGAAAATGAACTCTCTTCCAAAACTATCAGAGTCCAAGTCTTTATAAATAAATTAACTCATACTGGATACTTAATTTGCATGTTACAGAAGTAACAACAGAGAAGGGAAGCTGGTAGAGAAGGAATTATTCAGGAGGTAAAACCCCACAATTATAATCTTAGTATAACTAAAACCAAAACAGTAGAGGGTGTGTGCATATAAATGCATCACATTAGATTAAGTCTACAGACATTTTGTTTACAGAGTTGAACATGTGTTAATCATTAATACAACCCTAAGTAAATCTACAGCAATATTTTGTCGACTACAGTTCACTGTTTTTCATAGGCCAACTTTCAGCAAGTAAGCAGAACAGTTACACGTATATTTAGATGTATCTATACATACGCATAGATACATATTCAATTCTGAATACATACTACCTTTATAGGTTTGTTAGCAGACAAAACTCTATCAATTTGAGGTCTTAGTTCAAAAAGCGTTGCACAACTGTAGGAAATTGTCAGTTCTGCTCCCAGGGCAAAGCGGAAAAAGTTAGAAAAAGAGAGGTATTTGGAAGAAGCCATCATGATGTACACGATTTCTATTAATACGTGAATACAGAAATCTTCTTGAACGGCAAAACAACTTTACAGGATATATGCTCCTAATGATGAATTGCCTTTTGAGGTAGGTGTTCCTACACCGATTTCCACAAATGAACAAAAGTGTGAAGCATGTAGGGCAGAGGAGAAGAAAGCGGTCTGCCTCTTAACACAGCATTATGGTTTCACTGTCTAGAAGTGTTTATCTCTGATTTTTTCCTTTTTAAGGAAAAGAATTTTATACAAACAAAATTTTTTTCAGAAACATAATCGGTAAAAGCAGTTACCCAGCATTTCCCTGCCAGGATGAGCTGTTTTGGAAAAACCTTTGATGAGTAATGGCAACATATGTGATTCACGCTACACTACAGAAAATGTCATAAGGAATAGATGATTTCTACTGTTATGTGATGAAAAGTTTTGAAGACTTCCTAATATTAACTGTTTTGGTGAATAACAACTTGTAGTTACGGTAACATTGTACTTGTGTCAAATGTGATGGACTCAAAACTGATGTCTCAACTAATAATCTAAATTCTCTTTATTGACAAAGAATATGAAGTAAACCCTAGAAGTGTCTGCATCTCATCTTACACTCAAGTTGCAAAAAGCCATTTTTTTTTGATCAAGATTTCATATTTCCCAAATGTCAGGTATAAATCTAAAATTAAAAACCAGAGCACACAATGAGAAAAGTAACTACCTTTTTCCTTTTAATATAGATGTAATACAGAATGTTTAATTACAGCAGAACGGTGCTTCCAGTTAAATAAAATTAAAAACCTTTATTTTCCCCAAATATAAAATTACTAAATTAATGTCTTAAAAGAATAAGAATATGGAAAAAGCTTTAAATAATACCACCATTTACCACAGTAACCATGATTACCAATTACATACTCCATTGCTTTGGCAAAAAGGTTTTTTTTCTTTTAATAACTGCATATAAACCTAACATAGCAAAGACTGTATACATCTTTATATTGCACTTATTTATATACAGGAATAAATGAACTGTAAAGTCTGCATATACTTGGAATGAGCAGATTTTCAAAATAAACTGAAAGCAGAATGGTAAGAGCTGGTATGAATATTAAAAAAATGATTAGAAATGTAATACATTTATGTACAGACTGTATGGACTGTATTAACAAACAATATGTACATAACAATTTACTACTATTGATACTGTAGTATAATTCAGTGTTCATTAATACAGACCTTTGGTTGTATTTAGTTGTTTAGTAAGATTTAAGCTCACATACCTCCAAAATGCAACAAGGTATAAAATAAAGCACAACAATTTGCCAAATGGTACAAAAACTACTATTGTCAGTTCCATTAAACCCCAAAAACTAGTGTCTCTGTCAAGCCCCAAAATAGTTCTTGTATTAGGAATCTCTATGTGCCATACACAAAAAGAACACCTGAATGTTACATATCTGCAAAATTACATCCCACAACACTTTTTTGTAATGTGCAATTCATTTTAATAATACTTTCTAATGAACAACAGAAGCTAGCTTCAACTTTATAATTTTCCAACACGCACTTCTGCAACGACATTGTGAACACTTTTAAATTTTACCAGCGAGATTAAAAAATATATGTGCACCTCCCTTACTCTAAAAGACTATTACCAGTAACTGCTATTTGCTAAGTGTGCTCAAACATTCGTATGAATTATGCAGCTTGCACGTGCCCAACATTTAGCTTCAAGATCATCCTGAGTTTGCACACGATGAAGCCAATCCACAAATTTCGAAAGAAACGAACATACTTTCCTTTACAAAACAATCATGCAACTGAAGAAGAACTGGGCATCCCATGAACTGTTGTGCTTGTTGGAGTTCCACTTATGGCGTTGAAAATGTGTAGTGAGTTAGGCATGACACTGGCCTTTTCTTCAACCGGAGTAATCTTAAAATAAAAAACACGTATTTACAAAATTGTTACAAAATGAGACAAGCATTTATCAATTTCATGATGTGCTGCTTATCAACTCAACCTCCCAGTACTTTCTCAATTGCACAGAGCTTCTTAAGGCTGGTTACTCTATTCAGCCATCCTCTCCTAGGCAGGGGCAGTAGTTATTTCTCCAATATCAGTTCTCCTAATTTAGATATTACATTGTCCTCTGTAGAGGATGCTTAGATAGTTTCTCTCATTCCTCCTAACTTTCAAAAGGAGATCCACAGTGACAACAAGCTCACTTTCTGCTCTTTTTTGGTTTTCCTTTCTTAACCTTAGAAGTATGATTTGAGCACTTCTTTCTTACAAAAAGCTATTGAAGCACCAGGAAGACTTCATGCTTAACAGCTATAAACAAATTGATACTACGATAAGAAACACTGTAAAAAAAAAAAGGAATTATTAGACAAACTAAGAGAACAGAAGTAGAGAAAACTAATTACCATCCCATCTGATCATATTGGCAAGCAGCAGAGGAGAAAAAAAAGAAAAATCTGTTAAGATTCTTTTATATATATTTTAGAACAAAATATTTGCAGTTGTTAAAAACCCAGTGTTGCAATACAGCTAATGGTTTATTCAGCGACATTAGAACAAACCCCGTGCAAAGCTACTTTTCCCAGACCAGCAATAGGCAGGCACATAAAGGTGACATTTTTCAAGATTTCAATGAAAGAACCTGATGTTTCTAAGCCTTCAGGGGAGTTTTTGAAATTATCTACTTCAGGGGAGTCTAATTTAAGAAAAAACAAACCACAAAACCCAAAAAACCCCAAACCATCAACAACGTTACATGTTTTAATTATTTACAACTAATGACATCTGTATAAAAAGAATACAGTGGTAGGCTAATAGCATATACTGCAGTCAGTGATGTACTTTCATATTGTGCTCACCCTATATATATATCAGTTGTTTTTCTAAAAGTAAACAAAGAGAAGAAGGGGCAATGTGATTTACTCCTGAAATTTCAGGCATTACATGCTTTTTCTTATCATCAATCTTCGGAAATTTATACACTTTAGCATTTTTTAAACATCCAAATCTAGCACTGAGTTCAAAGTATTTTTTTGTTGTATACAAATTGTCATATTCTTTTACTTTTTCCTACGCCAGAGGAATGCTAATCTTGCTTTTATCATCAAATTATTTGACCAAAACACTTGCCTCCCTCTTCAAAAGGGGTATTCTGTACAGCTGTCTAATTCTCTCAAGTATTTTGTTCATCTTAATCAGCTTTCCAATCAGTTATCCTCCTTTCTAGAACCCTCTTCTGCATTCTGCTTTTCAATTAATCACATTGAAATATAGTCAAACTGTCCCATTATTGTCAGCTAAGCAATCTCTTTTTCTGTTTCATGGATCTTTCAAAACTGTTTTCTTCTACATGCATATGTGAAAGATACTGTTTTTTATTAAAAAAAAAACCCAACCACACAAATTCTGGAAAAATGGTATCACTTCCTATAAACTTTGTTTCACAATATTTTCTATCATTGGTGGTTAAAATGAGTTAGTTTTGTCATAAGCTCTTCTCTGTGATAGGATATCAAAATAAGAGAATGAAAATAAAGCCTATGTGCTTGCCATATTCATGTGCTTCACCATAATGATATCATATCACAGAGCCACTCATAGCACAGCACCTGAGAAAGTGCAGACTAGGATGCATTGGTTCTCAGACTAAAAAAAGTTTCTATTCTGGTCATACATCTAAGGAAGTCTCATAGACTTGTGCTTGAAAGGTAAAATATTATCAGAAAACACAGTTATTTCTTGTGAGGCAGAAATGCAGGTCTTGAGGGTTAAGAACTATTCTATGGCTCTGGGAAAAGGTTATACAAGTAACAGTGGATGTAAGAAAAGGAACCTTAAGTGATGAATATGATGAATAAAAATGTCAAGAAGGCAGGGATCAAGCATGAAACTTCAGCCCTTCCTGTCCTCCTGGAAATAATATCTTTGCCTTTGAAGTCAGGAGACATTTCTACTACAGAACCCAGATGCAAGGTCCTATGTTTCACTACACAAGAGTTCTGGTTTTCCTTCTCCCATATCTTTAGCTTGTCAGTAGTGGGCTTCTCTCAAGAAAATGTACTGAAATACCTCTTGAAAGATGTAACTGTTGCAAAAGTACATGTTTGTATCTCCATAATCTAATGAAAAAGGGCTAAGCTTTCAGCACAAATCCCCCTACAGTTACCAGGAAGTACAGAATAAAATTAGCTTTTTGAGTCACTGAATAGACACCTCTGCAACCACACATATTAATTTAATTAAATTTGGTTTATCTTTACTGCAGTCTTCCTTGCCTACAAAAAACCAGGCTGGTGCCAAGAAAATTCACAAACAGAAAAAAAATTAAGGTCCTCAATTTCGTGACATGCTTATTCTCAGATAAGAAAGAAAAAAAAAAAAGAAAATCCTTTTGTATAAAGCACTACATACATTTTTCCTATTGCTTTCACATTATAGTTACATTCTGAACGATGGTATGTATAACAATTTCAGCACATACTTGTTCATGCATTATTTCAGAAAGCTCTTTTGCCATTTCTCTGTAGTTGGCCTTCATTTCTTCTTGATATTCCAACTGGTCTTCCTTTATAAGTCGTTCATTTACACCCAGAGCATGGCCACAGGCTTCAACAAATTGCCTGATTTAGAGAAAATAAAGAAGTTTTCAATCACAAATCCAAAATATTGATTTAAAATGTCAGTTCAAAGTATGTTTTAATCAGAACACTATAAAAGTTAAAAGTTTTTAAAACATTCTTATGGTATGAGTCTAGAAAGAAAAGTAAACTTTTTCTCCCCTTTCCCCCACCTCCAAAAAAAGGCAAACCTACCTAAAAACTTCCTTTAGTAGCTTTACTTTATTGTCTGGATATCTTTTGGTGTTTGTGTCATCTAAGAAAGCTCTTGCATATGCTAATGGACCAGCATTAACCTAAAAAGAACAAGAATTAAAAAATACTCAGTTATCTGACATTGTCTTAGCAATAACAGGTACTGCAGGTGTCTATCAGATTTTATTTTCTTATGAGAACACACTGATTTCAAAAAAGCTGGGCTTCTAAACCAAGAAAACTGCTAGAGCTGAAACATAAGAGCAGAAGTGGTCTCTCCAGTAATCTGTATTAACCTGTCCTGGCACAAAGAAACCACTTCAGTGATGTGGCAAAGTAACTGCAGATACTGCCCATCTGTCATCTTTGCTTATGAAATTAGGGTGTGAAAATGAGCTAAATCTAATACTGTTTGGTCTGCTTATCTATTAAAAACAGTTTTCCAAGTTGCAAATTCTGCAATAATTCATAGATGTTTAATTGCACTCTTATGGCAGCTACATGAAAAGTGGATTCAGTGAGTTCTGACTCATCCCTATTATTCCTTTATATTAACAGTAAGAGCCCCTCCCTTCTCACCCCAAACACTAGCCTGACAACTTGCTGATTCTGAAACCTTGGCTTGGTTTTTTTTCTCTTTTCTGTTCAACATTTTCATGTTCATTTCAGATGACTGTGCTTACGGTTCCTTTGTTTTGAATCAGTTAAAAATAGTAGAGCGGCACTTTTGTCACTTCATTTTGAAGATCCTTACCATATTGATTTGTACATGTTAAAACTATTGTTTTAGAAACATTTTTTTTAAAAAAACATTTAAAAACTATTGCTTTTAAAACCATGTACCCTATTTTGGGGAGTCTGATGATTTCTTTATATGTTCAGTTCTTGCTTGCCTTAGGCAAAAAGAAATGTTGCACAGTGAGATTTTCTGCCACTAACTTCCTCCTATATTTTGTCACTCTCTACCTCAATAGGGATCTTAACAAAATATGTTGGACCTACTGTGGGCAGACCTACAGCTAGGCCAAATATGTTCATTCATCCTCCTATTCAGCCACTATTTTGTTGTAGTTTCAGCTTTACACCAAAACCTGGTGGGGCTCAGGCTGCAACAGATTCCAGAGATGAATCTTAATTCTTTCATGTAACTGTCTATGGTCACTGTTTATATGACACATTTTTAGTGTTTTTCCTATTCAGGAAATAACTGCAAACAGTGAGAATATTTCTAATTCAGGATATAATTTTTCAGGAACAGAAGCAAATGAAATAGCTGCATGGCAAAGGTCTTACCTGAACACTGACACTTCCCTGTAGCTTCAGCTGCAATTTGATCATATCTACTTCAGTTGAAGAGCAAAGCTGTCTGAGTTCTGCAACTTTTTTACTCATTTCATCAATGGCTACTTCAATTGGGTTTAGATCAGTATGGTGCTGGTACATTACTGGAATGCGCTTTTTCACATATGGGAAACAATGTATAGCTATGGATGGAAACAAGTTTACTACAGTTAGGAAAATGTTTTTGAATAAAGTGAGTTTTGAGACAATCTTATGCTAAAAATCTCATTTTGATGTAATTAGTTGCCCAATTTAATAACTTATATATTATAATAACATATATATATTATAACTTACATAATTAGAAATAGTAATGTACAGGGAAATAAAGCACTGAAAATGTAAATATGCACACCTTTACATTCATTACAGCAAAGATCGATCATTGTCATTACTGCTACGAACAACCACAAAGAAATAAACCATTGGAACTTAATTCATATGAGAACTGTAAAAAGAATTGTTTATCATTCACATATCTCAAGAAGAGAAGAATCAAAAATAGCAAAGCTGTACTTTCTATTTCCTCACAACTACTGGCCATGGACAGCTAACATTATAGTCACTTATTTGTTTTTACAACTATATTAATATAGAAACACACTTAACAGGGACAAAACACAAAACAGTCTTTTTCTAAGAGCAAGGAAAGCTAGACTCCAGATTCGCAATTCTTGAAACTTAAAGAAAAAAAGATAATAATTTTGAGGATTCTCTACTGAAGAAACCAATCTGAAAAACCTAGTTATGGCTAAAAATATGAAACGGATTTTAGCTGATAGCTATAAAGGACTTCATTAAGTGAAATGGAAAAACCTATACAGAACAGAATTAGACCATTTGATGCATTTAATGCTTCCATCAAAGCATTCCATTCAATCAGTACCTGTCAAAATAGTCCGTCGCTTACACTGCTCTTCTACTCCTCCTTGTCTTTTACCAGCTTGAGTAAAAGGCATCTCAAACATAAAGCGACGAATGTTATGAGTCCTTTCAAAATCTGTTTTTCTTTCTTGCAACTCTTTTTCTTCAAAGTATGGAATTACATGCGTAACTTGAATATATGCATATTTTGAATCTAAATCTTTAGGATTTACCTTAAAAACAGGACAAAAAAAAAATCAAATAGCTACATTGTGAATAAAGTGGATTCAGTAATAGTTACACAACTTTCAGAAATTAAATTTGGTCTCTTAACCTTTAAATTATTGAAAATACAGGAAATCTTCATGCCTTCACAGGGTTTTCCTGCTTTCAGCTTTCAACTATTAGGAAGACAAGGCAACTAGATGCATTACAACGCATTGTGGATTTTTTTGTTGGTTTTCGTTTATTTTTTTATTTTTTTTTAAATCACTCATGATCATTAAATCTAGTCCTTGCATTAAGTTCTCCTCTCCTTTTAAAGTTCCAATACTGAAATGCCCACCAATGCTGCACTCTCAGGCCAAGAGGTACAGAAAGTTTTGATCTTACTGGTAGAATAAAGAAACAAAAGAGCCAGGAAAATATAATAAGAGAAAATAAAGCCTGAGGTTGAGGCAAAAGTCACCATAAAGTCCGAGGTTGAGGTGTAAAAAGGGAAAAATTTCCAAAGAATGACTGTGCACGAATGGGCAAGAAATATAACTGAAGTTAACACAGAATATGATCATAATCCAAACTTGTTCTAATATACAATTATTGTTTTGAGAGGTAACACTACAGAAAATTAAGCTTTTTGGTTGTTCTAAAAGGTAAGTTTAGTAGGAGATAATAGTTCTGTCATGCCTTTCAAACAGCAGAGTTTTTAGACACGTATGCTTGTGTATCAAATGAATAAGAGGCAGTGATCTCACAGTATTTCAAGTGAATTAGTGAAAGTAATATATTAGAATTTTTTAGAGACAATAAAGATCATACTTTGCCAGAATCCTGAATCATTTTGACATTTTCAGATCCAAATTTGTCGGAGTAGAGTTTTTGGAGTCTTTGGGAAATTTCTGAAAGAGGTGTGAGTTTAGGCTCTTTATAGATATATTCCTTTCCATCTTCATCCTCAAAGAAACCCTGTAAAAAATGAAGTAATCAGAATCTTGGGGAAAAACATTTAGGGTAACGATTGAGATGGACATAATGTGTGTGGTTCAAAGGAAATATAAACATACAACATCAGTATTCAAGCAAATGTAAATAAAGAGAAATTAAAATCTAAGTAAAAAGTTTTCTTAAGAGAACAAAAAAACAACAGAAAAATGTAACTCTCTACTACAACATGAGTGAAAGTAATGGAAACACAGAATTTAATTTTTTTAAAGTTTGTTGCAATCTTATGGTGTGCCAAGCCTTTGAGATAAGTCTCCTTCACTTTTATTTAAAAGTGAACTTGCAGCACTGTTTCACTCACCAAAACAGAAATCTTGCCCAACAGCACTATCTGATTCGTAAGTGAGTATTTTGGCAAGAGTTTACATAAAAAAAAAAAATTCCTTATTTAGTAACAAAAAATTAATTCCGAAAAAAAATTTAATTACGCAAATATCTTAATTTTATGTTGTACTATATTGGTATATACTTCTTTATTTTATTACATAAGGTTTTAAACCTGTAACTAAATGCACAATAGAGTACATGGAAAGTGAAACAGGTCATTGGTTTAAAACAACAAGCCATGTCTGAGTTCATGTTTGAAACCAGAAAATAAATATTTTTGTCATAAGCGAAACAGACAAAATAGAAAAGCACAACATATCATGTATAAACACAGGCTAGATTGACAAAAATACCCACACCAAACTAAGGTGAAATGCAGTAGTTTTTACTGCATTGCTTGCTTTGTAAGCGGTTACTGTAATTACCTCAACATCTGTTTCACTGTCTGTAAACTGGTATTGCTATAAAGTTATAAAAGACAACAGAATACATGTGAAGTTATGCTGCTCAGAGTACTTTACAATTCTCCATGCTCAGCTGAACAACTAAGCAACTGGGCTACGCACGTAGAAAGTGTATTATTTGATACTGCGTGATACCATACAGATACAAAGGCATTCTAGACATATATTAGAGGACACGAAGCTGTCCAATACACAGCCAGAACTTTGGTTTGAAGCATGCAGTATTGATGCATAGAAAAGAGTGATCTGCTCTCTAAATGGAACTTAATGTTATTTTTTGAATTGTAATGGCTATTAATGCATACCAATCTAAGAAGCAGCCTTGCAAACCACACTGTAGCACTACAGACATTAAATCAATACATTGCTAAGAACTGACATTACAGAAAACTTACCGCTGCCTTAAGGTAGTAAATAAAAGAAGAGAAAGGAAAAAAGGCAAAAAATTTACTGAGGAAAAGAATAAGAACTTTGTCGGAATTGATACATGTTTTAAAATAAATTATTGATGGCGTTCAATTATTTCCTACAGAACACATTTCTTGTGCTTTTTATGTCAAGGTGTCAATATAGGAGATGAAACAGTATACCTTGTAAAATAAATTCAGGTTTTTCTTACTGCACAGAGCAGACAAATGAAAGTAAGTTATACTCACTTGTCCAAAGAATGCTACCCTGAAATAAGTTCCCAGCAGTCTCTTGCCTGTATGCATAACTTCTGTAACTTTACTGTATGCTCGATGAAGAGTGTCATATAGATGAGCAAGCCTCTAAAAATAAAACAATAACAAGGTAAAACAATAAAGCAGAACTTTGCAACCTTAAAACAACAATAAACGATATCCTTGTAGTTAGTAACAACTAAAAACATTGTTTTATTGAATGGCAGTAATAAGTTTAGCACTTGTATCAAAATGACAATATGCAAGAGTAATTTTTAATTATTTATATTTAAAGAAAAACATTTTTAATTATTAAAAAGAAAACAAAAATTTCAACACATTTAAATTTCAGTTACAATTTTAATACTCTTGTTCTGTGATGTCCAATGCATCATGCAGTTATGACTAGAAAATTCAGGATTTTTTTTCTTCCATAGATATTACTTATGATGAATTTAGTACCTCAAAATCTCTCCGTTTTTCATAAATGGGAATTATAAGTTTATATATATCAGCAATGAGTTCATAGCGTTCTGCCTTCCAGAGTCCATCAGCACACTGCTCCAACAATTCCATCAGCACATCCTATATTTGGATACACATTTGAAAATGTAAACCAATTCAGTACTCACGAGAAGCACAGCAAATAATTATATCACAGTTATTGCCAGCGAAAAGGGAGATCTTGCCTCACAATAATTATCTACACATAGTGATTTAAATTATTTTGGCAATCAAAAATTGCAAAGGAAACAAAACAAGACAGAAGGGTTTGAGCGTACATACGTAACCTTTATATTTACCACAAACAGCATTTTTCATTTAGATACTCTTTAGACCTTCTTGTACCATTCTTATATCACAGTGGTGAAGCCAGAAGCTGGAAGTAACTCCTTTTATTCTTAGAAAGGATCTAATGCTACTCTATTCCATCGCCTCCCTTTGGTAGAGGACTAAGACAGCATAAAGACATCACTATGAAAAGTCAACTTTAACACTGAAAGCATAAATTAGACTGAAAAAATGCTACCCTTATCCGTGTGCTGCAACAGAGCTTAAAACATCTCCTCCTTAAAACATTTCCCCCAGTGATTACGGAGGGGGCACAGACTCCCCAGTATCTCCATCCTCAGCAACCAAGTGGTGGGAACTGAAAGACCAGTGTCACTGCTGGACCACAAGGGATGTCCACACTGTTTTATGACATGAGTCTTAACTCAGACACCAGAGGGCACCCAAATGTAGTAAAGCAGTAAAATTCTGTTTTCACATAAAGAGCAAAAGCTTCAAGTGGGAGAGCTGATAGAAGGGAGAAAAAGAATAACATTTCTGAGCCACCTGTTTCAAAGCTTATCCATTCTCATGGGAAGAGTTTTTTTCCATATATTCAAGCAGTTTCCCTCGTAACCTGTGAGAACAGCCTCTTGCTTTTTAATGGTGCACCTCTTGGAACAGTCTGATTCTTCTACTAACCACCTTAGGAGGTGGATTTTTTCCAGTTTGTTGATACCTTTCTTGACTTTTGGGGGTCAGTGCTAGACACAAGATTAGAGATGGGGTTCCAAAAATACTGAGTAAAAGGGAAAAACCCCACTTCCCTCCACTTCTTGACTCAATCCTCTCTCTAATACAATGCAGCATGCAGTTGGCCTTTGTTTCCACAAAGCCACACCAATGATTCCCATTTAACCCTTTGTCCACTAGAACTTCCAGGTCTTTCTGCAGAGCTGCTGCTCAACCCATATTGATTTTTTGCCTTTTTTTTTTCTCCGCAGGTGCAAGGCTTTGCACTTGTCTTTGTACAACTTTGAGAGGATACTGCATTCCTGTGAGGCTCTTTCATTTACCCATCTGCAAGTTAGAATAAAGCCTCTCATGGAATGTCATAGGTAAACAACTACTTAACAAAACATAGTAGCTTTGATAAAACAAAAAACAAAAAAACCCACAAAAACAAAAAACCACACAACCCCCAAAATTAAATTTTGGTTTTTTTCAACTGGTTAGCTTAGGAAATAAGTCAGGTCAACCCTGACCTGAGAGAAAATTATTTTAAAATGAGAAATAAATTGAGAATTCTAAAATTTTAAACTTTTAAAATGAGAAACTACCTAAAGTTTTAAGACAAATTTCACTTAATTAGGAAGATTTTATATAAACTGGAGAATATGAAAGATGTTTTGTCCCTTTTAGAAAAAAGAAGGGATTCCCCTGATCCCTCAATACCAGTAATTACTCTTTTGGAGATTTAACTTTGAAGTAACTAGCAAACAGGGAAATCTCAAGTTTTAAAAAAGAAATTCCATACGCCTTGTTACCACATACAGGAAGAATTCCCATCAGAGCATTATTTTGTTCAGTAGTAGTAAAATACAGCTTGAAAGATATGTTTCTGCTTTCTGACTTCTGTAACCAATTGATCTGTCATTTTTTTTTCTCAGACAAATACAGTTCTGCTTACCTATGAACACAAATGAATATGTTCCTATTCCTTAAGCAACTAGACTACCTGTTTTGAAGTACTTCTGTAAAATACTAACAATCATAATTTATCTGTGATTTTTAGTCTACTAAACCCAAACAGTTCTTCCCGATTATTACTCTTTATTACTATTATTACTTCTTCCCTCTTATTACTCTTCCCACATTTCAGATAACTTTTAGAAGTTATCTGAAAAACAGTAAGTTTTTTCAATATTTAATCAGTTAGATTACTACATGGTTAAGTTTAGAAAGGGTTGCATGCAGGGAGAAATGAAATTTGGCTTGGTTTGATACTTCTGCAAGCTATACAGGCTTATAATTTCACTCTTGGCTTACTTCCATTCCAAGGAAATACTGAGAGATGGAAATAAATTTGTGTAAGGTTCAATGACCCAGAAAAAGCAGTATATTGTTTTTGCAGGGACTGACTAATGAGAAAAAGAATAAAGCCACTCCAACTTAAAAAAAAGCACAAAAGAATTTAACTCTGACAAATGGTTTGGCAGGGAAACACTGACAAGAATTTCAAACAAAACTTTCCATCAGCAGTACCCACTAGAATTCCTGCTCTTTGTTAACTTAGAGCAGATTGCATTTTCCTTTGAGTAACATGCTAAATTCCATGCTGGATCAGGAGAATCAGTGATTTAAAAAAATAGCACATAAATTAAAAAAAAAAACAAACCACAAAACAATCTGCTATTGGTTATCGTTGGAAAGAAAAAAGCACTACATTTCCCATTTCAAGTAATCAAAACTCCTGCCTTCCCAGAAGAAGGCAAGTCAACAATTTCTGCGGCTGCTAAGCCATAGTACCAGAACTTAGGGCTAAAACACTGGTACCCTAGGCCTAAATCCAGGCTTGAACCACTGGGTCTTTTATCTGTTCCTTCTAAATCTGTTAGTACAGCCACAGTTTGCACAATCAGATAATTTTGTCATACGGCTTCACCACACACTAACTAAAACACAAAAGAAAATATTTTTATTGTACAATTATGTCTACACACCAGGGATTTTCCAACACAGCTACTGCAAGTAGTGGGCCATCCCTCTCTTCCCCAAGTATACTAGCAAATACATAGTGTAGATGTAGCTCTTCATGAGCAAGATTATTTAAAATATTTTTATATAGGCTTCTTACTAGTAAAATTTACTAGCACAGATGGATCAGCAAAGACACAAGGCCAGAAAAAACACAAGACTGGTGTCAGGAAAACCACTTCCATTGTTATGGCATATTTGCTTAGGGAAACTGTAAACAGCAAAAAACAGTGAATACATTTTCATGATTGCTGGTGCAGTAACACTCTAAATCAAAGTCAGTTTTAAAAACCAATAGATCTTGCTAACTCTAATAAATAAGCCACATTAATGTTCATCCAGTCAAATAGCATAAAACCCCATTTTGTTTACTTTTTTCCCAGAAGTGGTACTGAGTTGATGTACTAGCGCTTTATTTAAAATACATGTATAAATTCTCTGAAGCTGGCACAGCTCAAAGATATTTTTTATTTCAGTTTTAGGATAAATGTAGTGGCTAAGAAAACAATTATTATACCGTTCATATTAGTCAGACTCCAGAATGAAACATAAAATTTACAAAAATGCCCAGCACTTCCACGTGCATCAATTCTAACACTTTTATGTTTACTTACTTCATTGAAGTGAACATCTTGCATTCCAACATCCTCCATCATCGAAGCCTCTTCATCTATATTTGGTGTGATTACTCTGAAAGCAGTACAACCTTGCCTAAACATCCCTGGCATTAAAAAAGAAATACAGAAAAATTTACTTTTCTTCAGCAGGATGACATTGGGCTATTTTGTGATTCTTGATAAGGCAGAAACCATGTTTAAATATACCTACCAACAAACAAACAAACAAATAAATAAACAGATCAGTCTCCCACTGCATGATTAAAATACAAGACCTCACATCACTCGGTATGTATAAATAGGTTTTAAGAAACCAGTAATGCTAATATGTGGACTCTTACCTACCAAAATAAGTAGTTTGAATCTTCCTACTTTTTCTTAAACTTCTGACTAATCTACTCCACCCTGAGTCTAAGGTACTCACAGTAACTTTTACAGTGTTTAATTAAACTACTGTGAAGTCATGCTTGAACTGTGTACAGGAACAGGCCCTGGCATATCAGTTTTTCCAGTCTTAATGCTATGAATGGACTGACATTAACTTTACAAAATGATCAAAGGATGGCAAACCAGATTATTCATATACAGACAAGCAGGAAAAAACCTAACAAAATAGCAATCTAACTTCCTTTAGTGAAGAAAAATAGTTAGCAAAAATGGAATATAGAACGTTCCAACACGAAACCTATCTCTTTTACCCATGCTGTTTAGCTCTTTTTTCATTACATCAGATTGTTGAATTAAGAAACCAGGATTTTTGACCAAAAACTATTAATTAAAGCCTCAAGAACAATCACCAAATAGTATGAAAGCACAAGGATTTGCACATATTTATTTCACAGCTCCTTCCTACAAAGATTCATTCTGTTCAGGTAGGAGTCTGACCAGAAGTTTTATTGAATAATTGCACCATATGCATGGGGTTTTTTGGCTCCTGGAAAAACCACAGGTAGAAGTTTGACCCTTTATATTACTGAGTGGAAATAAGTCTTATAAGACAGTATACAAAAATACCAGATCACCCAAAGGACTCACAAATTAATACAGATTATCACCAATTATCAGTTACCATCAGGCTTCCAACAGGACATAGTAACTTTGACAAGCAACTTCATTCCAGATTTGGTCTCAGAAGCTTCTGAAAGCATTGGGGCAGAGGAGATAGCCTATACACTAAAGTATTTGGCAAGAAGCTCAAAAGGAAAGGAGAAAAGGTATCTTTTAGACTCGTGACTTTGCTTCATTTTCAACTGTCATGCAAAGGCAAAGCTAAAAAGCTGTGAACGTGGATTTGCCTACAAAACCAAAACACTAGCTCAATATCATAATCAGTCTTAACAGATTCCTGAATTTTCCTCCTAAAGATGTATTTTTCTTAATAAAATCCATATAAGCTTTTCTTTTCTCAAATCCCTGACTGAGAACCCTTCTGATGGGTTCACCCTATGGATGAAGGACAATTTTCTACCCTATCTCAAGGGTCATCAGAACCCACTTTTACAGAGAGCTGCTAGCACAGAGTACCAAGACAGGTGAAGCATTCTGAGCATTCTTATCACCGATTGAGCACCTGAAAATCTGTACAAATTTATTTTGACTTCTCTTGCAATGCCATGTTTCCCTATAGGCAGTGAGAGACTGCTTGTTGAACAAGAATATTCACTGCTAAGTTTGCTTTAGAGAGGATCTGAATTCAGCAATTAGCAGCTCTGGTGTAAAATTAAAATTTTTACATTCCTAAAAATTTTACTTCACCTTCATCTGTAATGCTGCCCCTTAGAAATGCAAGTATACTCTTAAATATGTGATTAAGCTACCTAGGTAGGTCAGAATTTTTTCCTTGGTGAAAAATGAAATACCTACAACTTTCTCAGATAAAACTATTGATTTTCCTAGACTATAATAAGAAAATACGGGGCCTCTGGTGGTCTAGTGGTTAGAGTGTCTGACTCTCACCGCTGCGACCCGGGTTCGATTCCCGGCCCCCTGGGCAGGTGGAGCTCGTCAGCCGTGGAAGGCAATCCACCTAAGAGAAGGTCACTCTAAACAAACCTACATCCTGGGGACCTCACTGCCACTGTCCAAGCTTTGCTCGGCCCCGGCAGATGAACCTCAGGACTAAAGGGTGGGCTCAGTTCAGCGCACGCTGTGTCTCACCTAAAAAATCCACTGCGCAGGCTGGAAAGGTTAATGACCTTTCCCAAATCTTCGCTCGCGAAGACTGGCCATTATATTATAATAAGAAAATACACACCATAAAGTAAGGTTTCAAAATCATACCTTTTCTTGTGAGATATTCTGCAACCAGTGCTGCTACATGGACATAGCACATTGCTGCCTAAAACAGAAATAGTAATCTTATAAAATACCATTAAAACAGAACTATTAAAAACGACATCTATAAGAAGAATCCTAGAATAAGACAATTTCTTCAGTTGTTTGCTGGAGATGTCCTATGACTACCGTAAAAATTCTCCACCTCATTTATGCAAAACAATAACTGTGCAAGTGCACTCTCTCTTTCTTTACCAGAACACTGAATAACATGGGCAGCAGTACACAATCTAAGAGTGATCACGGATCACAAATTACAATGTAGGAACATCATGCTGTAATAAAATCAGACAAATCTTTCCTGGGATGTATTTTAAGTGTTATGTGAAACAAAAAAGCTATTAATTATTCTAGTCAACATTTGGTGGTTCTTCTGCTAACCTGTTTTGTCTGCCTTTTGGCTTCAGACCTAGAATAATGTAGAAGAAACCAGTGACAGACCATTTGAAAGCAGCAAAAACCAAGAAATCTGATCTATGAACAGAATTTGAATCTATCTATGAATTTGAATCTGATCTATGAATTGAAATTGGTTGGTGTAGTTTGGACAACAGAAGAAAAAGAAGGGGAACAGAGAAATCTTCAGATACTTGAGATGTTTTACAAAGTTGACATTGGCCACCTTTCTCCACAGAAAGGACCAAAAAACCCAAAGATTCAAGATTCTTATTTTACTAAAGAGGCTTAGGCTTTCAGCGAAGTGTTATTCTAACTGTAATTATTAATTGAACTGTTTATATGTTTACTGAGGCTGCGCAATCTCAGACAAGGGAGGCAAAGGAAAAAGGTAAGAATCTCCCAGAAATTCTAATGCATACTTTGTATAGGGTTGAGCTTGGTGATTTACAGACAACCTCATCTAGTTGCATAGTCAAAAGTTCTAAGATTTTAATATAATCAAAAACATCAAAAACAGACCTGAAAAGGACTAAAAGAGCTTGTCTGCTGAGAAAGCTGAAGTTGTTCCCTTCAAAAGACAAGCTAGTAACAGAGTACTGTATACAACTTCTGTGTTGCTACCATATAGAAGAAGAGAATTCTAGTGCTAAGATCTGAGTTAGGAAGATAGCATCTTTTATTTCCTGGAGATATTTACTTGCTTACGTGATGCTAATTTTAACAGATATTTATGAAATTCAGTGGTATCATACGAAGAGATATACTTTCAGATGGAACAAACTTCTAGAAAGAGACAAAATTCACCTGTATCCAGATAAAATACTTACATAAAGACATATAAAAATTCCAAATCTCAATTCCCCTTTTTGCTAGAATTAAATATTTGAACAGCACAGTGGAATCAGATAGCTTTCTTTTTTCAAACAACAAAAGAAGTTATTTGTCAATTTTCAGAATATTAGGAGTTTTTCTAGTACGCAGTCTGTAACAGCTGTAATAGCTAATTCTATAAAGGCAACTGGAGGGGAACTCAGGGAGTGGCTTTAAGTGTTTTAGCAACTAATAACAAAGCTATTTTTAAGCAGAAGGCCTGTGTCTTCCATGGCTTGCATTGAGCATTCCATTCTTAGTAGCACATTAGCTACAGCAATTAAACAAGTTCCTTGCATTAATAATCAGAAATTACTTACAGATATACTCGGGTAGGACAAAAACCTATCAGCTATTGAAACTAATCTACTAACAGTTAAAACTTATTAAAAATAGTTATTACATTGCACCCTAACTAATACATTCAATGTCTAAAAAGATAAGCTTAAGCTTATTACAAATCTATAACTAGTTTGATTTTTTTTTTTCAACTTACCTCTGAAAGATCTCCATTTTTAACGTGGATCCTTGCCATGCTGTCTAACCACGTCTTCCTTAGTTCAGGTGTACTAGCATAAGATTTTGCCAAGCTGTACTGGAGGTCTACAAGCATTTCTGGATCATTCTCATGCTCCTTCATCTGAGCTGTAGCCATCAGTACTGTGCGAATCCGTTTTGTTAAATCCTTAACGTCAGATGGGAATGTAGTGTGCTAAAACATGAAAAAGTTAGGTTAACTACTACCTTTCCTATTCTTTGCATAATAAAATGATAAAACGTAATTGCAAACGATGCTGTGAAAGAGTCTTCAAGCATCCTTCTATAGTATGGAAATAAGAATAAAAACAGACCTTTATAATTCTGTCGTTATTGGCACAATTATTGATGATGGAAAGAGACTGCTGGAATCTAGTTCCTCCAATTCCAACAACATCAGCAATTAGCTGGCTTACTGAAATAATAACCTTGACAGAAACAAATATCTTGTTAGAGCACATTTAATGAAATACCCTTGAGATGTACCTATGAAGCAATTACAAAGGAAGTTTTGTTCTTTTTAATTGAAAAATTATTCTCTTAAATAAAGTAATGTTTGGTGGCTTTTTTCCAAATTACTTGAACAATAACATGGGCAAGCAAAAACAGCCTTGTGTAATTCAATGCACAAGCATCCTTTGCTTTAAAGACAAACTGCCAGGTAAACTAGCAAGAGGTCATTGAATTGGCAAACTAGTGTTCCCAGCTTTGCCAGAACACAGTTTTCCAATTATTTGTTTTTAGACTTTTACATGCTTGTTGCTGCATTCCTTTCCTTCTTCAGACACAATGGGGTATGCCATGTAACAATCAAAATAACATCTACAAACGACATTTGCCACTGACAAATAAAAATTATTTCCTATGAAACAGAGGATCATTCAACTGTTTCTAAGTATTCCCTTGTACTGAACATACTTTTATTGCCATCTTCTTACTCTTGGTACCAGCCTTGCTTGAACACTTAATAATATCTTTTATGTCTTTATCTGACAGGGTTTTGCACGCTGGTATGCAACTGAGCATCTACAAATACAATATTTAAAACCACAGAAAAACAAAGAAAATATACTAACTTGCAGATGTGTTCTAACAAAAGACTTCTTCCCTGTGTAGTCAAAATTATTCCTCATTAAAAAGTACAGTAACTGTGAAGCTTCAGTACGAATTGAACTCAGTTTGGAATTACAATACTTCAGAATTTCATAGCACAGTGCAGAACACATATCAGCTCTACCTTCATAAAATGTAGAAGGAAACTGAGGAAAAATAAGAAAAGAAAGAAGTTATTCACTAAAACTAGCTTCAAGTCTTGGTAAAATGTCAAGAAAAATACAAATATATTCATATCCTCAATCTGTGGAAAAAACCAAGAGTTAGAGTAGTTTATGACACAAAACAGTTTTTATAGCAATTCAAAGGACAAGTATTCCACACTGTTGTTGATTACTGACAATTTTAATTTGGGATGTTAGTTCTTAAATTCTTATATAGTATATTGTTAACTAAAGAACTGGACAAGTACTTGAAGATTAAATTTTTTAAACTTCTTACCTTATAAATAAGTGCCCTTAAAGCAATGAAGACATTTTTCAATGCTGTTTCAGACTGATTCTTTTGAAGGAAGCAGAGGTATACATCAAATACTTTCTTCATCAGTGGATTATGCCCATGATCAGTCAGTAGCTGATTCTTTAAAATGATAGTGAGATCTTAGTTTTGTACAGTGATACATTTATGCTACTCTAAGAACATACATAGATCTTCAAAAAGCAGGACATTTAAAAAATATAATCTGCATAGTATTACCAAGATGTTTAATAATACAAACATATTTGAATTTTCACTAGATATTTCTAACACTTTGTTGATTTTGCTTATAAAGAAAGTGTTATCTTCTAAATAGACTTACAGAACACAACTACTTTTATCAGTTGTTAATGTCAGAGACTGAATTTGTGTCTCACTGGATTATTTGACTGATGGGTTGAATAAACCATGGCAGGGGGGGTGGGGGTGAAGGGGCTAGGCCTAGGCCTGCAGCCAACATGGTGCAACCATGCAGAGCACATGGCAGGGAAAGCCATGTGGCCGAGCTGCCAATTAGGCTGCCTGGTGGCCTGCCCACACCATGTCCCCATGAGAATCTAAGTGGCTGTGGCATCCCTGACTTTGGCTGGGGGGACAGTGAGTGGCAGTCAGCCAAAGGTCCCGTATAGAGGGAGTGGCCACAAGAGTGAGAGTCTATAAATGGACATGCATGGGGTCTCCATCCCCCCTTGGCCTCTGCCCTCCTGACCTGTCAACATGTAACCTCCAGAGTGGTAAATACGCCTCTCTCCTCTCTTTCTCTCTTTATTCTTCCTTCTCTAAATCTCTCTTCCTTTACTACTGTGGGCAACTTGTCTGTATTTCATAGAATCATAGAATCAACTGGGTTGGGAAAGACCTCCGAGATCAAGTCCAACCCTTGATCCAACACTGCCATGGTTACTAGACCACAGCACTAAGTGCCACATCCAGTCTCATCTTAAAAACCTCCAGGGACAGTGAATCCACCACCTCCCTGGGCAGCCCATTCCAACGTCTGATTACTCTCTCTGTAAAAAATGTTTTCCTAATATTCAACCTAAATCTCCCCGACACAGCTTACGACTGTGCCCTCTTATCCTACTGGTGGTTGCCTGGGAGAAGAGACCGATGCCCACCTGGCTACAACCTCCTTTCAGGTAGTTGTAGAGAGTGATGAGGTCTATGCCTGCACCTCCTCTTCTCCAGGCTACTTCACTTAAGTTATGGGTATTTCACTTAAGTTTGTGTTTGCTGGGTGTAACAAAGGTTCACTTACTACAGCAATGCTTGCTAGTGTCAGTAACATGTTGTAATGCTTTTGTGAAGTTGCATGTTATTTCTGTTAAATCCTTTCTGCCAAAACCCATTTTCTCAACAAATCGTAAGAAATCTCTTAGAGAAAAATGTGTAGTTTTATTCCAGATGTGAACTCAAGGTACCAAAGAATCAAAAGGCTTTGTGTAAACAAAATCTCTTGAAGCCTGAAATAAGTGTAACACCAAGTAAAGCGTGGAGCTTCTAAACCAGGTTGTAACAGTTAGCTAAATCAATTCCTATTAAAAGTTATTTGAGCGGCACACTCAAAGTATTAACTCACTTTGGTGGAATTTTCTCATAGCAGTTCCTCCTACTACAACATTACTCTACAAGGTCTTGCACCTTCTGAAACTCACTTCTATACTCTCCACTCTTCTTTGTCATTATTACATACAGGCATCCAGGTGGGCAGAGGGTAGGTTCAGATTGGACATAAGGAGGAATTTTTTTTTTTTACAGTGAAGGTGGTGAGGCACTGGAATAAGTTGCCCAGAGAAGTTGTGGATGCCCACTTCATGGGAAGTTTTCAAGGCCGGGGGTTGGGGTTTTGAGCAACCTGGTCTAGTGAAAGGTGTCTCTGTCCATGCAGGAGGGTTGAACTAGATGATCTCTGAAGGTCCCTTCTAACTCAAAACATCCCAAGATTCTGATTTTATGTATTTTAGTGCAGTTTATTGAACAGAAGCTCCTGATTCTCCTACCTGTTCTGACTGGATTTTTGAGACTATTCTGGCATACTCTTATCCTACTTTCTCAACATAAAACACACAGATAGCCTTGAAGGATTGTCATTCCAGGCACGATGGGTCGATAATTAAAAGATTAGTGTTTCTTCTACTTTAAATCTTTATAACTAGGTATCTTCATTTTCAATTCTGTCATAAGATCTGTGGACAGAACTGGCTCTAAACTCTATTTAATTAAATTACTAATAAAAGGAATCTCATTATAAATAAGCTCATGTTTTCATAACTAGGTAAGACAGTAAATTTGATTCTTCAAGCAAGGACATGGATACACTGCTCTAATTAATTAGTGGAGAAACAAACTAAAACTATCATCTCTATCATCTCTCCTTTTTATAGCTTCACCTCTAATGTCTGGAAAATCTCAAAAAAACAGACCAGAGGGGTAAGTAAATGGGCATGCTATATAAAGATTCCATGGGAGAGCTACAGTAACTGATACAACTAAAAAGAAGATTTATCAGTGGACAAACTGAAAAAAAAGTTACAGATGAGGAACACACACAAATCACTATTAATGAGTTCAATTAATGTAATAATCAGCCAAGTTCAATATAAAAGTCTGACAGTATCCAGATACAGTTTTGCCATATAATAGATCTTTCACCTCACATGGCCTTTAAAAGACACTTTTACCACTAATATGAGGTAGACACTAAAACTTCTAGAAATATTTTTAAGAAGTTCGGATGAGGAAGAAGATTTCCCCACAGATTACTGCTGAACAGTATGGAGTCTGTGTATAATGTGTAACTAAAGCCAAAGCATTTTGCCTTAATATATTACCAGCTTTTACATGATACAATAATGAAATACAATGCTAGAAAAGCTAAAAATACAATGCTATATTACTAGACTGTAAAATGTAATTAAAAATAGTTTTTAAAAATATTTCTTCTCAAAGATAATTATGGGAGAAGTTAACATCAAGTCATGAACAAACCTTAAAAGCCATCGTGAACAATGACAGAGTATCCAGAATTGTAAGGCAAACTTCGGTGGCAACATTTGCTTCAAGTAAAGACTGGTGAAGGACATCTGCATCTGAATGGCCATAGCCTACAGAAATTCCAAACGAAGTGTAAGTGCTGGATACACTCATTTAAATGTTTCCTATTTCCAAAAGACTTGATGAACTAGGAAAAGATTAACAAGTAAAAGCCTGACAGAAGTTAGTCTTCAATGCAGAAAAATAATTCATATTCATTTAAGTATTTTTCAAATATAGACATACAGTTATTCTAACATAATTTGCACGTGATCATAAAATATATTAAGTAAGAATGTCAACAATAGAAGCATTAAACAGCAGTTAAAACAATATGTGATATTTCAAATATATGTGTATACATACACAGGTGTATATATATATATAAAGATACAGTTAGATATATATATACACATATATATTCATAAAATAAGTACTGCAGTAGGATGAAGTTACAGCTGAAAATACATAATTTTGGTAATTTAGTGATGTTATAATGATCTCAAAGTTAATCACAAGTCAACCATGATGAAAATACAAAACAGTAAGAGCTGCAGGAATACAATCACCTACTTATATGCAGCTTAAGACCCAAGTAATGAATTCTGCACTTGTAGCAATACCATGTAATAGCTCTGTATTTAAGAAAAACATTCTATTGCTTCTAGCTCCATACTGTATTTTAATAATAAAAAAAAAACATATCCTGCTTCAGCACTTGTTATAATATGTCCCTTATGTTCCCTAACACCGGTCTTCAAGCACCAGGTTGACAAATGTGCCCAAGGTGCTTTATAAAAATTTGGTCTGGATCATGTTTATATGTTAGATTTATAGTCAACTTGGCATCACCAAATCAATTACATGGATGACAAACTTGCTGAGATCAAGGAAAGAATGGAAAAAATTACATATTCTTTTATAATGACCCCTGGCCACTTCTTTCTGCATCTTCTTGCTTCCCTGGCTAAACTACGCATGTATACCCATAACAGCCAGTTTCTTTAGATTTATATGTTGTTTCTTCAAGCAGAAAACTATACTGAAATTTCTCAGAGATAAGATATATCACTTACACCATTATTTCAGTTCTATTGATTGCTTAGATGATTAGAAAGGGAGAAAATAATTTGATAATTTACACTAACAGACAACTGTCTTGCCAAAGAATCTTGATTTTAGAAACAAGTAAAGCAACTATTTCCACCAGATACTTTCTTCCTTTATATATCCCATACAGAATACCCACAAGATTATTGAAGATCTGGACACTACTTTGGATACATGATACAGGCAGACTGACAACTAAACAAAACTAAAAGTTAGACAACAACAAGACCAAAGATATAAAAATCAATTTCACACTTGACTGACTTTTACAGCAACATATTTTCAATTCGTAAAACCTCGGTCAATACAAGGTGCAATATCCTGATATTCATTAAATGTCCATTAAAAAAACCTCTATTATCATTTTACACAAAATTATGTGAATGAGACACCTTCCCTCATAATTTCCTTCAGATGGAAAAGAAAAGAAAGTTTCTTTTTACATAAGCATGCATTTATTAAAATCTTTCAGCTCGCTGTTTCCTAAAAAAAATCAGTTCTAAAAAAATCGAGTTCTAAAAGTATGAAATCTCTTTGCACAGGGATGTGTGATTTCCCAGAGATTCTTTTCTAAGAATTGGTTTTTATCTACAGACTATTGTACTGTATTGAATGTGTAGGCACATAGTGTAAAAGCTTTCTTCTGCATATCAACAATCATACAGAAATTATGATATAGCAGCAGTAGACTGATTGCAAAAAGAAAAAAGTAATTTGCACAGCTATATACTTGTCTGACATTTTTAAAAGCAAGCAATTTAATTTCTTATATTTAAAGAGATGTGATAATGCATTTATGAACAGATGTTTTGTGGGATTTTTTTTTTCCAGTTTTACACAAGCCTGTGATAAGTCTTCTGCAATTAGGCTAGCTATATAATATATTATATTATAACATAATATAATATATTATATATATAAAAATTATATTATATTATAACATAATATAATTGCTTTATATTATGGATAAAGAGCTAAAAGATTTTAAGAGACAGTCAGATATGCTTTGGGAAATCAAAGAATGAACACAGTGAACATACAGTTAACTCAAATAATTGTTTTCCTGCACGCAATTCTGTTCAGTACCAGTGTTGTATTTTACTGGATTAGTCAACCAGTTTCATTGTTTTTTGAAGCTGAAAATTGAAAAATGGTGCTTTAGAATATTTTATATACAGTATACTTTGCAATTTAGAAGCAGCATGTTTGAAAAGATAGGCCAGAAGCAGATTTAGTTTTTAATACAGCAGTCTTATACAAGCTGACTTCAACCTGATTAAATCTTACCATTGTCTACAGAAATTCCAAGAATACTTGATATCTTTCTCACACTGAAAACAGAAAAATCACTTCATTATTGGACGCTTTTTCACTTCCAGACAAACCAAATCATGGGCTCACAATCTTCGTAGAAATTCTAAGAAACTTACTTCTCTTAGGGGATGTCAAAACATGGAGATATGGTCCAAGTGTATATATTTACTTGTAGACTAGTAATTCATAAGACCAAGTGGGAGGAAAACAATGAACTTAATAAAGCAAATAGGAAAAAAAAGAAGTAAATTTTGTAACAACGTGAAGCACAATTTTGAAGTGTATATAATTTTAAAAAACTATCAGTTTTAAAATACACTGTAGTTAACCATGCTCCATGTTATGGCATCAGCCAGCACTGATTGTTCTATCATAAAGCCGAGAACAGACCATCGACTGCTTGCAGCTACTCATTTGACCTAGAACAGTAAAAGTCATTGAAACGCACTGGTATGGCTCTGGGACCTGTCTCTGGTGTTGTGGTACTGGTTGAGGACGATGAATGTTATCATGTCATGAGACTTACTGTGGTTAAAAGTGAGAGAGTTATCCAGGCTGCTCAGCTGCTGCAATCTGGCATGCATCATTCCTGTTCTGTTACGGGAAACAGGCAATGTCTGAGATTTTCGATCATGAACTATGGATCCTAACCCCTCCTGGTTCCTGCAAGATGGGTGAAATGGGATAGAAGCAAAAGTTAGACGTGTCAAACTGCGGCAAGACAGGAAGTGTTGTTAGTTAAGCACAAGAAGTTTTATAGAGAGATTCATAATGCAACCTATTTACTGTTTTCTTTATAAAACAAAAATAGGTAGCTTAAAAAAAAGCATTACAGCAAACTCTTAAAACCTCAAAGCATGAAAGCAAAAGCACACAAGCAGTCACTCTTGAAGCGCAAAATTTACTTCAGAGCTTTTGAAAATAAAAATTTTATTGAGAACATAAATATTCTGAAAATATTCAGAACCCAAAACTGAATTCTCTATTTTGATTGCAAAAATTTTAGCAAAAAAGTTAGAAGGACACATGGCAGCAAAATTAGAAAGCACACATGCAACAGGAGAGCAGGAGTTAACTGAGATGTTATCATGTACTTCTTACCCAAGCAGGAAGGGAGAAGAGCCATAGACTTTGTTAAATTTGCAGCAATCAAATGAAGAAAACAGAAAAGTGATCTGTGTTAGCAATCAGTACAGCCTAACTTTGTATTGTGTACCACCACCAGAGCTGATGAAAAATGAAAACCAGTGCTTGAACCACAGAATTCCCTGTTCCCTTTCATTCTGTCATTTGTGTATTTTAGGAGCGCGTGCATTCAGTGTAATGACAATGTGAAAGACTAGAAAGCCACATTTACTGGGAAAATTCAGTATTTCTGCAGAACACCAGATGATTTCAATAGCTTAACATTTTCAGTGTTAACATGCAGCACACAGACCAGGTGATCAGTAAACAAACAGGAAGTGTGATAGTGTCTTCTACACAACTAGTCAAACAAATTAGTTGGAATAATTTTTACAAAAAGACTGAAAATTACAGACTCCTCTAAATCCAGAGTTTGGAGTACATATGAATACAAAGGAAACAATCAAAACCTTAACAAAGCCAGATTTATTTTTTATTTTTTTTAGGTTATGTGAACAGAGATGAGATTTTTGTTTTCTGAAAAATCTCCAAGGAGATAGTCAAGTTTGTAGAAAGAGATTCACATATCTAAATTAAAAACTAAAAAGCTAACATTATAGTTAGAATGCTTTACCACTCAAAGTCAACATCAACTTTCTCACTGATTTCAAGAAGTCCAGTACTTTAACCCCACCAGTATAACAGTACTATTATGTCAACTAAATGCAAGGCCTAAACAAGTTGCTATATTTTACTCTATTAAAAATTATTTTGTATAAAAAACCACGTTAATGTAAAGATATTAAAATAATTTAATAAAAGTTTCTGACTCCTACAGATTTTCCTTGGATTTCAAATCGAGAAACAGCAGCGTTGGAATGTTCACTAATCACCTTACAGTAAAAACACTATATAAATAAAATTTCTAAACCATTTCAATGTACATGGTTTTATGGTCACGTGAATAAATGAAACAAATCATAAAATTTCTTTCCCAAAGAGACTATTTCAAGGAAAAAATGCGGTAAAAGATAGCATTTAAGGGATGGATTTTAAAGTAATTGATGATAAACACCACACAGATCATTCCTAAAAAGATACCATAGTTTCAGACAGGATACAGATTTGTTAATAGAGTAACAAGTTACTTACTTCAAACTGTTACATATCATTTCACAGTAACTTTTCTACTCCTGCAATTTATTTGTAACAGAGATTCAAAGCATATTATACTCACTATTATTCTTAGTGAACAAGACAGTGAAATTTAAATTCCACACAGTACCTGGCTATGTATCGTTTTCCCATGTACTGGAACTGATGTAAGCATACTCTGCAGAGAACACATAGGTCAGAGAAGCAACACTTGAAACAATCTCTTCTAGATTTATGTACATTTGAATTATTCAACTATTATTTTTAACTTTAAACTCCTAGGTCATAAAACCTCTTTATTTCTCCCACCCTTAAAATTCTCTTCCAGTCCCCAAGCCAAGGAATGGTAAACATGGCTCTTCTGAAATCAGTCACAGATGGTTGGTGTTTTTTGGCAAACTGGGATTGACAGCAAAAGGCACATAAAACTGCCTCCAGAGCACACCTATCTCAAACCTCTGAATCAAAACCACTAGCACGAGTCTAACAGTGACAAGGGGGAAGGGTTAAATGGTTAAAAAAAAAACCACCTTGGAAAACTGTAAACATCAAGTGCTCCATATCCTCTATAGATTTTTAATACTTATAGAGAAGAAAGGTTTAGTCCTGAGTCTCACAGATAAAATTTCATTATGCGAGACATGGCCCACAGTTACAGTTATTTACAGGAAGCCAGGGCAAGTAACATGAAGGAGAGAAGCAAAGAGATAACTAGACATTACATACATAACACAGATTTTGCAAAATGTGTATAAGGGTTAAAAATAAGGGCAAAACATTTTGCTTCCTACCCCGGTCTAAACTCTCTTGGTTACAGACTGGCTTTTTCTGTTTTGTTGGGTTTTATTTAAGGTCTCCAGATTCCAGAATAATAACAGGGTTTCTGAAAGAACTATTTTTCTAAAAGGAATACAGTTTTACAATAAGAAGATGATAAAGACAAATTCCCAACAATAATTAATAATCTATGCTACTGGTAAGTCCACAACACTAATGACCAATAAACTAAAAGTCATACTTTCAAATCAAGAAAACTGGTGTGAATGGAACCTGCAATACTAATTTTATTTTACTCTTTTCACACTGTAAGCAATTATTCTGATAATACAGAACAGTTAACGCAACTTCCATTGTTCCTCAGGCAAGAATGTTCTAGAAGTTCTTCTTTAAAGTGTAAATCCAAACTGAAAGCCAGTTTTCAGGCTCTCTCTTCCATGTGCCAGTTGTGAATGAGAGATAAGACTGGCAAATAATAACTTCCACACAGCTCCATTTTATACTCAGACCTTTAGTAGCTCTAGCTGTCTCCAAACTGTAAAATCAAAACGCAGTTTGCCTCTGAAAACTTGTCATTCTATTAAAAAACTAACCTCAATTTACCCTTTGGATATCTCCTTGTCTTTTTAGATTCTATGTTTTTCAGAAAAAGTTCTCTGCATGGTGAGTACCTACATATCATTCTCTTACTAGTGTAATGAGAAACTATTGTAATGACCTTACTAATAAAAAGCATGATCAAAATGAATTTAATTTGCATTGGCAAAATACTCTAAGAATTGGGAGAGGTATGAGCCTTGTTCCTGCTCTAGTTTAAGGAACTGTGGTATCATCCACTTCACTACAAATTTTATTCTGTATTCCATGTACTACTACTGTGATGGAAATATTCTTTTATAATTAGTAATTTGAGATTACTGATTTGATCCCAACCACTCCTGTCCAGCCCTTAAATAATAAAAATTTAATGTCAAAATACTGATATACAGTTTCTACCTCAGGCTTGAGTCTACCAAGTAGACTCATTAACTTGTTTGGTTCTGTCTCTAGTACAATCAATATCACACCAGATGTATTCAAATAATGAGTTAAAATTACCTACAATGTATTCCTGAGAGAGATCCTGACTAGCACATTCCATAACATAATTAAAAACTGATATTACATTGAGCCTCTACTACAGAAACAAGGGAAAGCAGTCCAGTGAAACAAGCAGAAATGCTTCTGTGGTACATCACTTCAAGCAAACACTGCCTTCTTCACTTTTTATTAATGTATCAGTCAGTTCTCAAGAACAAACACACTGAGTGTGCATAGAGATGGAGTGTAGCCATTGATAACAAATACTAGATTCATCCTATATCTCTTCCCTTACAGAACAGCAGAAGACACAAGAGGAATGCTAGGAGGATGGTTCTGAAGTTACAGAATTCAATTCACTTTGATACGCAACCATATAAATTCAGCAGTTAAGATTACAAAGATGCATTTTAATGCAGACAGGTAACAAGACAGTTGGTACCTCTTCCATGAGCACAGCAATATTCTGAGCACTACTTGCTGTTTAGGATCTTCCCGAGATCCCTTATCTATAGTCTAATTCCAGAGATTATCGTGGAACTGGACAGACATGCAATTGTGCACATCACATTAAGGACTTCTGAACAGATCAAGATGGTCTTACTTAAAGAAAAAAAAAACAACAAAAAAACCCCCATATACACACACTTATAATCACACTCCTGCTTTTAGCAGCATAGTGAAATGTACAATTTAATGACAAGCACAACAAAAAACTTACTCTGTAATCGTGAAAAAGTCCATGAGTTCAGATTTTGTAGCCTTGTTCCAATATGTAAACAACGCGTCTAGGAAAATGAAAAATATTAAAAACAAGATAATGGCAGCAAACACAAAAAAAATTAAATACAAGAGTTAACATAAGTTCTTAGTTTTCAGATGCTGAGGATTCAGAGAATCTAGAACTGGCTTGCAGGGCACAGATAACAATTACTATTTAAAGTTTTCCTTGAAGATGATCATATAAATTCACGTATCAATTCTCCAAATGAATGTCTACAATATGATTTTATCTAATCCATAATATACAATTTCATATTTTAAATAGTAATAATTGTATAGTCCATAGTGATTGTGGTGTTATAAAAATATAAGACTTCAGAATACTTTTGACTGTTAGTCCTATAGCATGATTCTCTACAGATCAGTCTAAACATTTTTTAAATGCAAATTTACGATTTCTTCTTTCTTTAATTTATGATGTTTTACTATGAATAGTCAGCACAGGTTTCAGTTTTTCCTTCCACAATTTTCAAAAATGGCTACATATGTTCTACAAAGCATGCAGTTGCATAGCCAAGACCTGGTCTCTTTTGCTAAAAATGTTCAAAATTAACTAAAAAATTCAAAATTATTACAGAAATGTGTGACAAAGTCTATTTGACACTTGTTCTTTTCCAGGAGAACTGAGACCAAAAAAATCCCCACTGTGGTTTAAAATTGAATATCCAAGAAAATATGATAACTCCTTACATATTCTACAGTGTAAAATAGTGAAAAATATATTTGTGAGTTTTATTATTCTTTGTAATTAAATTATATATAATAATATCAATGTAATTACATGAAAATCTAATGGTGTGATTGGATATTGAATATTTATTAACTTTTCAATACTCATTCTTGATTAACAGGTGTAATAAATTAGAGTTCAAGTACTACATAAACTTGAATTTTAAAAATTAACAACCAAATAGGCACAGAGAATGAATTAACTACTTTTGACAGCACAAACTGAAAAAGTCAACGTTTTTAGTACAGATAGGGATGATCCTAGCAAAAAAGTAAGATGTGCCATTCATGCAGTATTTCTATATATTTGTACCCTTTTCCAGGATAATATGACTCTTTCAAAAATTCAATGGATCATCCAAAAACATCCCAGGAGAATGAAAAACCCAGAATAATATCCCCATTCCAGAAATGGAAATATACACAGTAATCAAATAATTTGGTTCCTTGTCATACAGGAAGTTCTACAGAATGGAGGAACGGACCAGCTCGAGACACTTCCAGAGAACAATGAATTATTCTTCATCTCCATTTTTCAGACCAAATTGTACACTTGCACACAAATACTCACTTTCCTAACAAGTCCTTTAGTTAGCCTCTCATTTAAAAGAAATAATGAGTATGTAAGGCTTACAAGGTTTCTTTCAGTCAGAGTTTAATTTGAGCAATCATACATATTTGTAAAATGCAGCACATCATGGTACCTACACCTAAAATATTCTGCTGATTTTGAAAACTTATCACTTTGAATTTATAAAAAACAGGTGGAATTACCTACCATCTGACATGCTTCTTAAAATGTGAAGGAAACACATGAGCAGACTTTTGATCTCTGCTTGATCAAGTTTGTCGTATCGAACAACAGAACTTCCTAAAGTGCTGCTCTGTTGGTTCTGAAAAGAAAACAGATGTATTTTGGCTGAAGAGTTTTTAAACTGATAATAAACTAAAATGATTTCAATTGTTTTGAATTCCTGCAACAGAAAAAGGATCTCAGAATGGAGACAAAAATGTTTCATGAAGCCAGGTCACTAAAACACACGTTACACACATGAAGTATACCAAATTAAGCCTCTTTGCCTTTGTCTATTTAAATTCCTTTTTTGTATGACTTTTTCCCCCAGAAAGAGGAATAAGAGGAAAAGTTACCTAACACTGTTTATTAATCAAGTTAATTATACATAGGCACTCATACTGTAGAAATCAAGCATGCCCCTGCTGCTTAGATTAAATACTTTAAAAATAAATGCTAATGTCAGGTGATACATATATGCTCCTTTGCTTTTGGAGACACTTTATCCTGAACTGTAGACAGGCCTGCCTCTACAAAATTCCTTCCATTTAAAGATGTAAGAACCTCAAGGAAAACATACATAAATAGCAATAATATGCATTCTGGAAGATTAATTACTACTAAGTAACTTACTCTTGTCCTCCTTCCCTTCCCCCATAAAAAAACCAAACAAAAAACCCAAACCAAACCAAAACCCTCTCCCTGCTTCATTTTTTTTAATACAATTACTATACTTGTGGGAAGTCTATCAGCAATGCTGAACACTGTCATCTGTCCAAAAAGAAAAAAACTCTATAACTGATCTTTCAAAATGTGTACCACAAAAAAACCCTGAAAAATAAAAATGTGAAAATAGATAAACTGAACTTTTGGCAAAGACTTATCTGTAAAAGAATAATTTCCACACAATCCAGTGTTACAAAATCCTCAGCATGAAACTTTTAAAGACATACTATATAAATGTTAGCTTAAAATATAGATTATGTTCTTTTAAGTGCCTAATTCTCACATTCAATAAGCCACTTATGCAAACCGAAAATGAATGAGACGTTTAATAAGTTTTCTGTAAAGTCCACAGTCTGGTATAATTGATCTGTGCAACTCTTTGGTTTCTACAGTTGGCCTCATGACCTTTTTCAGGATGCATACCAGTGTTGGAAGAAATTCTTTGCATCAAAATTAGAAAAAATAAAAATACAAATATAGTCTCAAGAGAGAAAAGCACTTGGTTTCTAAAACAAAGTGAGAAGTGCCAGTACCTCAAGGGCAGAACAACCCTTCTAAGAATACTCCTCACTGAAAGCAGGAGACATGCTAATCCATGAAGGAACACTTCACAGCAATCACATCCATTGACTGCTGAGCCCTTTAATGCATTCTGTGCTGTCCTGAAACAATCTGTGTAAATCTGTCCTGTACTAGTCACTGAATGGATGCACAGTAAAACTGAATATGAAACTATAAAGAATATCAGCCAGAAGTTATTCAGAAGGAAATGGACACCTCTATAAGCCTGATTAGTGCAGATTCTAAAGACCCCAAGACCAAAATCTTTGAAACATCTCTGGTGAACAAGAAGGTGCTACTATACAGCTTTAAGGATACTATAATGGAGCAGGCAATTAATGGGTGACAGAGCAGGAATAGAATTTGTGTTTCCTAGACTTTCAGAAAAGGTCCAGAGCATTACATAATATTCCCACTAGAATAGCTGAACATGTACATGGATAAAACTAGGACTACAGCTACTCAGAAGCTTAATTTAAAATCATGCCAGTAACCTACAAAGTATGCACATATTAATATAGAAATTGATATACTTCCAGTCTATTCTGATTCCACAAGTATAGTGCTACAGGTTATTCTGAAAGAAAATTAGAACAAAAACATGGCTTTTCAGTAATGGTATCAAGCAATGAGCAAAAACTTGAACATGCACTGAACATCTGATCTACTAGAAAGAAAGTTCAGAAAGCAACAAATAAAAAGCCAGGATCAAGTATTATTTGGGAAAAATATTAACAGCATGCAAAACACAAATCCTGTGTTACCTAAATTGGTAGACCAGAGCAGAATTTTCAAAGGATGCTGACTCCTTTGAAAACCCTTTTACTTGGTAAAAACACCACAAGTTAGTAATTAACAGCATGACAACTAAGTAATAGATGACAGCATTGCCATTTAGCAACAGTGTATATTTAAGATACTTCTTAATTACCTTGGTCAAGGACCCCAAGACTCAAATTCTGCAAATATTTAAACTGATCGGATTTTTATACTTAAACTAAATCACGTGCATGAACTACTCCAGGTTTGACATTTAAACATATTTTACATAGTTAAATTGAATATATTGGGTTTGAGTTTCAACTGTTGCAAAGAAGCGGCAAAACTACTGACCACACACTTCACTCAGAAGCTTAACTATACCAAGCACAAAAAACAGATACTTCTTGTAACTGAAGAGAGAAAGTAGTATGCAAAATTTTCTCTGGCAAAGCTGGAATTGTCAGAAGTGAAAAATCCATAGTAACACGGTTTTTCTTTGCAGGGTGAGAATTTTCTTCTTCTTCTCCATTTGGGCATATAGCATGAGCAGAGTGCCTTCTGAGAAGCTTCTCTCTCTGCCACACGAAGGCATGTCAGAGTCAAGGGGAAAGAGTTAACATGTTGTGACTTGCACAACAACCTCTAAGAAAATGAAACGTGAGCAGTATCAACACAAACTCTAGAAAGACACAACTGAATACCTCATAGCTACTGCAGCCAGAACTCCTAATTTGTAACAGCTTTAAAGTGAAATGATTTAGAAAAGTCAAACTAATATAAAAGAAATCACCCAGAGAAAGCACAGCAACTACTTTTTCAGCCTTTTAAAAATGCCAAGTATATTGTGAACAGGATGGAGTGATGGTCTCCACAAAATCAAAGAAGCTGTCCTAACTACAATTTGGTCCCCTCAAGTAAAATTCAATATGCTTTATCTAGTACCTTTCTCTATCTAAGGAAAAAACAACTGCTTGCTTATGTCTCTACATTGAAAATCTGTTTCTATTTTCTGCAGAACAGCTTAATAAATGCAATGCAAAAGGAGTTCACAAGATAATTATTTCGCAAAAGAAAACCTTACATAAAATACTGCTCTGAAGTTATTCCAGAAAGATTATTCACAATGGACATCAGAGAACTTAACTCTTATGAGAATTAGGACAAAATTTTAGGAATATGCTTTTGGGTTTTATTTTGGTTTGGGTTTTTTTACCTTGTCAAGAGAATTGCTCTTGTCACTTTGTCTTTCTGGGAGACTGTTTCCTGAGTCTGTACTTATAAGAGATCCTCTTGAGTCAGCGTTCCTCACACTATTAATATTTGGAGTAGATGTGGTGTATGGGGAAGCTAAAAAAACAAACAAACCACAACCCCAAACAATATAAAAACCTCAAATAATACATATACTGACAAAAGTCACTCCACAGTTTAGTCAGACTTTTCAAATCACCATATATATATATTTTTTTTAAGAAAGTAAATAATGAACTCTATTTAGTTACTTTTAATGAAGACAAACTTATTTGAGAGTTTCAGCAAATTATATATGTATACTTATACACACAGACTTATGTACTACATACACACATCCGTAAAAACCATATACAGCAACATATACATGCTTCCATGAAGCCTATTTTAAAAACTCCCCTTTCCCATTTTTCAACTCTTTTTCTGTTTAATTGACTAGTAAGTGTCATAGCTAATTACAGCAGACAACACCAAATAGAAAAACGCATTAAGAAGACAGACAAGAGGATGCCCAGGTGCATAAACAAAATCACCACTTAGAGGTGATCTCTAACACCATGTACAAAACTGCAGATTATGGCACTCCTGCCGTAAGTGACTAAGGCTAGTCTTGTCTCCAATTTCTCTGCAGCAAGACAAGAACTATCACCTCTGAGAGGAGAGAAAAGGAGCATCACTTCAAGAATTAGCTTTTGTTTCATGTGGAAAAGCAAATCCTAAAGATCCCAAATGACAGAAGTCATGTACAGACTGAAATCTGACCCACGCTAAGCTGTTTACTCCATTAGGTTCAAGTACACATGCATAAAGCAACCAAAGCTGGACAAAATATTTATTTCTGATAATTAATGAAAAAGGAAACCAGTTCCTTTTAATTACTATATTTTTTAAGTGCTTACCGATGCCAGAGATAACACCAAAGAGATCTTTAGGAAGATTGTTATCCAACGTGTTTCCTGATTTTTGTGGTGTTACTAACTGACTTGCAGTTGGCAAAATCTGTGCATCATCCTTTGCGCTCTGTTTGGAAAAGAGAGAAAAATGTGACTATTTTCCTACATAATTGATGCATCTTCCAGAGAAGTATTTGTTATATATTTCTTCCTTAAATTTTAATTTCTATTAAATATGCTCTAAAGAACGGAATAAGATATTCAGGTATTTGCACAACCTTGGGATAGCCTAAAATTTATGATACCTCAGGAAACATGGAAGAAATGAGTATTCCACTGAATTTTAAACACTATAAAACAGATATTTCAAAAAGACTCAAAATAATTTTATTTCAAACACCCAAATATTTCTCTTGTTGTAAGAGTTTTGGAATTTTTTTTCTTAATACCAAATGGAACATAGCAAGATATGAACAAAATAAAATACATAAATAATTAAATCTGAGATTCAGTAATTGTATGCAACCATAATATATCAACATATACCCTTCATAAATTCCACTTTAATTAATTCTCCTGTAGCCCTCTTACACTACAAGTCTTCCAAAAGTGCACTCTTTAAGGTTAAATTCTTCTCTAATTTCTAGAAAATTAACCATTTTTTGTGGTCCTTTTGTTTCAGTGTTGGACAGAATTGAAAAACTGCAGAATTCTGAAGCTTATGAAACTCTTTGTTTGCTAGGAGTACATAGTGTTTCATATACATGTTACCATTAAAATATGATAACAATAATTCAGAATACCAAATAGAAATGGTCACTCACATTGCTGGAAGGGTTAACAGGAAATGGAGACACATCTTTAACATTGATTCGCTGAACATTTTCTATAAGCAGTCCAAAGAGCGGCAAATACATAGTGGCTATTCTTGCTTGATGACCCTAAACAGAGTTTAGCACTTCATTAAAAAAATTCCAGTTTTAATTTTCAATCACTAATTAGTTTTAATCTATTCATTCCCACATTACTAAAAAAGAGCATTTAATAAATATTTGCCCACATTCACAAGTTCATAAATGACAAAAGCAGTGATCATCACTGTATTTCATTCTAAATTACAGAAGATCAGTAAGTTTTATTTACTGCTTAAAAAGTAATGCAGATAAACTCCAAAATTAATGTAATTTCAGCTAAAACTAACCAAGTAGATTAATATTATGTTAGGCTGATAAATTAATTATACCTTTCATTATAATTTTATGGCTTCTCCACAGCATAGCTGATGTTAAAAAAAGTCAGAAAATTAAAAATCACTGAAAATTTACCATCATGACTTGTAGCTTTCTTATGCTTATTTTATGAACAATAGATGATGGAAGGACAGATGCCAAATATTAAGAGCTAATGTTTAATGAAAAGAAGAGCTTAAAACACACTTGTAAAAATCTGATTACTTTAAGAACAGCAATTAGTCTACATGTGCTAAAATGCAAACATACTAAACACATACTAAAAGGTGCTTTGTCATTTCATTTGGTAAATAGATGGAATTTGCAGATCAGTAAAATTTTCATCATAGTATGAGCAGAAATAGTTTTGCTGCAAATTAACAGGGGTTTCTTTTATGAACAAAAAAGCTTTCTGTATGTGTGCACACTTAATCTTTATTATTTTGTACTACTAGCATAGCAATACACTTACCCTGGAAGCATATCTATCATCAAAAGAATGTTTTATCATCAAATTCTTGAGTACACTGATAGCAATCTGCCGAACATCTCTGAACTCCTGTAAGGCATTGCCCACTTCCCTTAAAAGCAGTCCAACTAAGAAGTGATTTTTACAGAATTCATCAGTTAATGAATAATCCAGCTGAAGGTCTGGAAGTAAAGTACAAGCTCCATGTAAGGGATGGTTTTATTTAAATCAATTTATCAATTAACTTAAGGCTAAAGTAAAACCCAGCACATCAAACACAGCAAAGTCGAACTGCTCCCTCTTGGAAGTACTTTTTGTGTAATAAAAGAATCCAGTTCATTTATGTACTGAACATATGACATCATAAGAGAAACTTCAGCTTGAAGATCTCATTTATTAGAATATATATACGTTTACAATTACAGATGAAGAGGTGTCCAAAATTTTCTCATGTTCACTGTCATTGTTCAGCACAGTCATCAAAAAACAGATGCTAACCTCAAAGCACTTTCATTTTTCAAAGATCTCTCTCAGTAAGGGAATCCATTAGGTCAGAAAGAAATATAGCTAAGACAGCACAGGCCTTCTTGTAACTTCCACAGGTCTTCTTGTAACTCACTTAAGAGCCAACCATATCACCTGAAATACCTTCTGCTTGACACAGCAAAACAGAGCCAGAAAAGCTTCCGATAAAGGTCTTCTTTACAGGCCGAACGCCTAGTTCCTACTCAGGGAGCAGCATTTTACACTCTTCTTTATTGTGTAATCAGAAACACTATCTACTCTAGTTTTGTTATTTTCTTAGGATACCTAAGCCAATTCATAGTCTCTTTTCTAGGAAAATATTTATGCAGTATTATTATCCAAGACACATGAAGCCTGAAAAAGCCAAAGACAGAAAAAAGTTCTAAGCAGCTGTCCAGATCGTAGTCCCAAATCTTGCTCTATCTTATTCTACTGCAATGTTAATTATTTACTTAGCCTTACTAACATAGCAGAGTCTACTGAATAAATACTTATTACTTGTAAAAGCACCTTCCTCACTAAAGTGATTTCTGCTACAGTTCAATGCCTGGAAGAAATTAATGTCTTCACAGCCACAAATGCAATAGCTAACATGTGACTTGTTTTGCATGCATCAAGGAGATCAGGGATGCATCAAGAAAGCCAAAGCTCAGCTACAGCTGAAACTGGCAATGGACATCAATAACAACAAAAAGAGCTTTTATCACTACATTAGCACTAAACACCTGAAAAAGGAAAACATGTCAGACTGTGATTTAGAGACAGTGGACTTGGGTAAGGCTCTGTTGATTCCCAGGCCTTAACAGTCTAGAGACTAGCTTCAAGAAAGACAATTATCAGCAGTGAATGAGGATCAGGTCAGGGATCTCCTGAGACCTCCAGTCATGCAAATCCACAGGACCAGATGAGATACCTGAGAGAGTTAGTTAATTGATATAACTCATTATCACCTTTGTTAAGCCATGGTAATCAGGGGGTCTCCCATAATTGTAAACCTGTGAGGAGTGAAGGTAGACATTACACACACCTTCAATAACAGGGGATGAACAGGGACTACACGCTTCTCTTTGGTCCTTAGAAAAGTCAGGGAGGAAGTCTTCTCGCAAATCATTTTGCATCAAGTGAAGCAGAAGAATGTGACTGGGAATGGCCAAAATAAATTTACCAAAGGTAAATCATGTTTTAAGACCAGTAAACCTGTCTGCTGGGGAGAACAGCAGATGTCCACATGGCTGTTGTATCCAAACTGGGTCATTATAAATTGTGAAAAACTGAAAAATGACTACATGGATCATTGGGCTCAAAGGTTGGTGGCCCATATGCTCAAAGGGCAGAGCTGCATTACAGAAGCATCTAGATTCTATAGAAATTGTTCTACAGAAATGGCAATTAAATTCAACGAGGACAAAAGCAAAATTCTGCACCTGGGATGGACCGACTTCCAGCAATGGTATCAGCTGTGGAATAACAAGCTTGGGAGCAGCTCTGCTGAAAAATATCTAGGGGTCCAGGTGGACAGTAGCTTCAACAGGATTTAGCATGGCATCCTGGCAACAAGAAAGGTTAACAGCACACTGGGCTGTATCAACAGGGTCATAGCCAGCATATCAAGGAAGTGTTTGTTCCTCTTTACTTGGCATTGGTTAGACATATCTGTAACATTGTGTGCAGTATTTAGGCCTCCTAGTACAACAAGATTCTTAAGTGAGTTCAGTGAAGGACCACCAAGGTACTTAAAAAGCTGGAGCACATGTACTGTCAGGAGATATCGAGGGAAATGAGCTTGTTCCATCTAGCAAAGGAACATCTAACATGATCAGAGCAGGAGGTTGGGCTACAGACCTACTGAAGTCCCTTTTAACCTGAACGCTATATAAAAAAAGCAAAAAGTACACCAAGTCTCACACTACACACCTACTTACAGGAACGTTGCAGGCTTCCACAACTAATGAATTAAAAGCTAACTCATGAAAAACAAAAAAGCAAACTTAGTAAGCATAGCAGGAAAGGCAGGAGGAGTCAAGGATGTAGTTTATCATGTCCTCAAAGACTAGATACCTTAGAGAGATTACTCTGCTACCTAAACACTTCCTTTAAATGAAAGAATTACAACTTTAGACTTCTATTTAACAATTTCAAGCTTTCCAATGTCTCACAGACCTGAAGTTATGCAGTGTCCACATCTAATAATACAAAGACGACATTTAAGAAAAATACTATATGCTACTTTGGAAGAACTTACCTTGGTATCTCTGAACTCTGCCTTTTCCAAATGGCATTGGTAGATTCAAAGGTATGTAGTGCTCATGGTTGCAGACTACACGAAGAAATTCAAATTTGAATTCAAAAAGAGTCTGCAAAAATAATTTTAAAGTATAAATTAAACAACTGCTGCAGCGATTTGAACAACACATTAAAAACAGCTTTCTAACACAAAAAAGTGATTTATCTCAGTCTTGCACTAAGATAGATATAGACCTGTCAAAGTTCCACATGTCAGCATAAAATAAATTCATCGTAATTCATACTTAAAAACTGGATATAATTCCATTTACTGTTCCCATTGTCCAAAGTTTACAAGCAGATTATGTTTTAACGTAAGAAAAGTTGGGACCCACAGCAGAAATTCTTTGGGCATCTGATACATGCTTTTGCCATTCCAGTAAATGTAGTGGTGAAAGCACTTATGAAATAACAACTCTTTCAACTTTAGACTTCTCACACTTATGCTTAAAACTTCTGCTTACTGTTGCATCCTCAGGCCCCAATAGCTTTTGCAATACACGTGCTCTAGGGTGGTAAAATGCACTTGAAAATGGGAAACAAAATATGAAAAAGTGGTTTGATGGATAAAAAATGCCCTAGGCACAGATCAGGAGCTTCTAATGTAAATGGGAAAAAGATCTGAAGACTTAATGCAGGACTCTATCCATGCAGAGGAGACAATTCTTAAAAATAGTTTGTGTAAAAGCAATGAGTACCTTCGGATCTCCCGGGGCAAAGCAGCTGATGTAGTTATTGATTTGCTTGAAAACAAAGCCTCTATCCATAAAAGTGAAACACCTCTGAGGAAAACAAGTAAAACCAAGATACAATTGATTTAATAAGTTTATTTTCCAATCACATTATTGATATTTCAATTTGAATACAAAAGCCAACAGAACAAGCAAACTATGTGTACATATATGAATACCAAATTTTCCCTTAGAGTGTAGAACTTAAACAAATCAGAAATAAAAAGCAGTTTGAGAAGAACTCTATCTTGATAGAAATGAAAATTATATGCCACTAGCAGTTTTATCAACCATTTTATTTCCCATCCATTTTTTATCCCTTCTAGATCTTAGTGGCTGAAAAATGAAAGATACTGAAAGTCTGTCTACATAAAATTCATGCAAATAAAGCACTACTCAAAACTTTCATAGGACTGGAAGGTAACCCAGACAAAATTTTTAAAGAAAAAGGAAGAAAAATAAAAACAGATTTTGAATAAAATATAAATTAATTTTTTAAAATATCAAGTTTCAGAATATATGTCTTTTTGATTACAGCAGTTGCAAATGTATTTTAACTTGGACATAAAATTATATTTAAAAGGCATTATGCATATTCAGCTTTATATGAGTTGGCTTTAAGAATCTTTAAAATCCATGAAGAAGTAGTATTATTGAAAGAATAACCATAGAGTCCAAGTCTCTTGTACCTACTTTTATAAAGGCAGCAAGACTATGGTTTGCATTTTTTGAAGCCTCTGGATTGTCTCTGTACTTCTGAGTGATGTGTGGCATTAGCATATTAACAACTGTTTCAACTGCATGATGAAAGGAAGCAGAAAATCTCTGGTTTCGCAACAGCTAGAAACAAATTGAGACACAATATTTAATATCATTTATAAACTAAAATACATCAGAAAATTTACTTTTGATAAGATATAGATAACCTGATAAGGAGACAGAAAAAAAACTTTCAAATTTTCCAATTTGTGATTTAACAAAATATTTTCTTTAAATTCAATATTTTCCTGAACTTTCTACGCCAAAGCAGAAAAAAGAGCATTTGCTTAAAATAAATTTTGACAACATGCCCTAACATCTGTTATTGAAGTTCAAGCAAGGCAGTCTTCAATGATAAAAACTTCTAAGTATAATGCATTAATATTTTTCTATACCCCAACAAACTTGACAAGAGGCAATCCTTCAGTTTTATCCATCTTCTTTTCCAAAGCAGACACCAGCTGGTTCACATATAGTAAATGCATTATTAGACTGTCTTTTCTGCCTTGAAAAAGAAAAACAGTTTTTGCTGTTCTGCAACTATCTTGGTAATAATACCTTCTCTGTTTTCCATTGAAGAAATTGCCATCCATGCTTCTTTCTTTCTCTTGCTCCTCTGCAACTTCAAAATCTCAGGCTTCAGGATCTTACTCTCTGTGCTTTTAAGTTTCCACAATCAGAACTGTTTTCCCTTACTTTTAGGTAGTTTGCCAATTAGCTTAAAAGATTTCCTCTTTGTTCACAATTTCCTTCTTTCCACTCACCATCTTCATCAATGATTTTGTACACTCTGACCAGTACAAAAACCAGCGGGTTTTTTTTAGCTTTTTGGCACTGCAGTCTCTCTATATCTTACAACCTTTACTAAAGATCCTGTCTTTTGTCTGAAGGGACTTAATGGACAGGTGGTGTGAGGCTGACGACATTGACAAAAACTGTTGCAACTGTACAATTAGTTGTCTTTTTTTTTTTTTTAAACTGAAATCAAAACAACATCCACATTGTTTAAGTACTTTGTTATTTACATAGTTTTAACTAGATTAAGTGCAACATTCTTAGACAGAACAAGTCATTGTCAAGGCCGTCCATAAATCAATGATTACACAATCAATGTTTGAATTGTCCTCCAAATTTCCAGCTCTAGTTGAAAAAAAAATAATTAAAAACAGATATTAAGGTTGAAAAAGATCCCTTCATAAATATGAACTGTACTCATTCATGAAATAACAAATAAAAATTAAAAATTCTGTTATTGGTTATGCCAGTGTCCTATGAAGCTCTTGTAGCTCAGTGTTTGTTGGACAGTAATTAAACATTTTCCAGAAATACTACAAAATTCTTGCTACAGAAATAATCTTGCCAAATATAGAAATGCATCTTTTTATCAGGTCTCATAAGCAGGAAATATGTGAACACATGTTGCATTGATTACTTTACCTAATAAGACAGAAAAGAAGCTAGCAAAATATTTAAGGGGCTTGTAAATCAAGAAGCAATGTTCAGGAGTGAGACTACTTGCAAACTAGAGATAAGTTCTGCAGATTTCTTTTTCACATTACAGAGAAGATGACAATCAGGTTAGTTGAACTGGGACTCAAACTCTACTGATCACACCACAGAGTATTAAGTGTACTACTATAAAGCTTTTTTCCTGATCATTATCCGATTATTTTTTCCCCAGTATACTTCACACTTCCAGCTATGTTCTAAATACACAGCAAAAATAGTGATAATGATTTCACAACAACCTGATAGTTACTCAGCTGGGACTATTTTGTATACTTGAAACTTTCAAGACTTGTTTCAGTACAGAAGTAAGCAAACTAAAAAGCTGTCACCCACGCACAAAAACACTGCTTATAGGCTAAGTTTGTAGAAAAAATGCATTTCTAAAACTTTAGCATTCTCCTTCCAGCTTAGAAGATAACACTAAATTAAATATCAATATTTCTTAGTGTACATAGAAGACTGTAAACTTCATGACTCAACTGTTCTCTGTGTCATTTTATATCTCAGCTAATGTACTGCTCAGGAAGAAGCCCACATTTTTTGGGGTAGGGCTTACATCAAAGTCCACAGTGTTAACTATTGCTTCCAACTTCATTGTACTGTAAGAATTAAGAATTTCTACTGATGATTTACACAGACTGCTCTACTGTATGGATTTTAACAGGTTTCTATTCTTTTATAGTAATGCTGAATATAGCCCTGAAGTTTTTTCTATCTAATGTTTCAACTGATTTCTCCAGCTGTTTTCCTCTTTCTCTCCCTTTCTTACAAATGAAGTTACTAATTAGAAATCAAAACCACATGTTTCTTCTAACATGCAATAAAGGTATGTGATTGGAGAAGAGACGATACAAATTCTCTCTAGAATATGTGGTTGGAGAAGAGACAATAAAAATTCTCTTTAGAATAACATTTTTTTGCATAAGTTGACATACCTTCACTTTAGAGTTTTCTATCAAATGTTGAGCCATTGATTTTATCAGAACTTCAAAGAAAAACCATGAATACTGCAGAGAAAAGAAAACATTCTGTGAAATTGCCACAAGGGTTCAACAACTATTTCAATACAATTAGTTCCTATTCTTCAGTTATGACCAGATAAGAACATAAGGTAAGAAGTATAGTTCAATATTTACCTTAAGTAGCTTGTTGCTTGTAAGAAAGTCAGCAGATGGCTTTAAAATTGTTGTCATGGACTTTGTCAGTTCTTCATGTACTGTCTTATATTCAGAAGCAACATAGGGTTCAGCTTTATAAGCATACTTAGGGAGAAAAAACAAAATTTAATATGAAATTATGATGTAATATGAGAAAATTGAAATTAAATATATGCAACTGAAATTAAATATACTCTTTCTTAGGGAAATAAAAAAAGGAAATGTTCAATTTATTTTTACCTACCTTGACATAAGATCTCAGGTAGCTATCTAAGCCTTCTTCATGACACTGAGCAACAATATGGATAATAACCCTAAACAGAAGTCAAAACCAAGTAAGCCTATAAAGAAAACTACGATTGCAACAGCAAAAATGCTACCTCAGTTATAGATTTATGTGATAACCCAGTCATCACTTAACTTTAAATTCTTTACCTTGTCACATTGACTGCCACTTCCTCTTGAGTTGCTCTAGTGAGAACTCTAAACAACTGGTTGAGAACAGTTGGCAGGAAAGCTATCATCACATGGCCTTCCATAGCATGAAGGCTCTAAAAGAAAGTAGTGATACTGTCACTGTCTTGACTAAAAGGCATTTAAATCATAAGTTCTGAAAAAATAAAATTCATTGCAAGTCTTTTTTCAAAAATACACACTGCTTGCACACTACCAGAAATACTGCACAGAAAGCAACTGAGATTATTTTCCAATATAAACATTCAGCAAATGTTTTCTACATTAAGGTAAATTAGGGATAAAAATCAGGTTTTATTAACAGCATTTTAGAAGTACCTACTTGTACTTTTCTACTGAAATGCACATTAGGTAATGTTTAAAGGAAAAGCATAAACAAATAAAATAATCTGTTATTCACTGTCATTTTATACCTTAAGATACTTTACAAGATCAGTTCCTAGTGCACGAGCTCCAGATTCTGTTTTCTGACAGTACTGAAAAAAGTTATGCAAGTGCTGGTCCTGTCAAAGACAAAAAGAACAACAAATTAAATAATTAAACATTACTATCCATAATCTGAAACACAACACATTAAAAATATTTATATGTAGAAATCCATATCTTTGTCCATAGATTCAGTTTTCAAAAATTACTGAAGTGTGAAGACTTATTTAGTCTACACGTAACATTGATATTTTTTTAATATTTTTATTTAATATTTTGATATTTTTTAAGCCATATATGAAATTTCCAGTGTTTCTTGAATACCCATTATACAAAATGCCACTTATATTTGCTTCCAACTGATGTACAGCATACTTAATTATCTCAACTGATCATAATATGTTTTTTATGAGCAGGTATAACAGGACTCATTGCATTGCAGACATGCCAGTAAATAGCTTTCAGAAAACTATGACCTCTTATCTGGAAAATTCAGATTGGAATGGAGGGTGGTAGACAAAAGGCTCATATTTTGAATAGCTTCCATTTAAGATCTTCTGTTTTTTCACAGCTGATGTAAAAGAAAGATACCATGAGAAATGTCCAAGAGACAAAAAAGTAAGAGATGAACATACTGAGATCAAGAATCTTCCCAGATATTGTAAATACATACAATAAACACACATTATTCCTAAAACTTTCTCTAATTTTATTTGTTTCATAACTCACCTGTGTATACACAGTTGACACCAGATGAGTGGATATTTTTAACAGTTGTTTGCCTCCATCTACCCATTTAATTTCAGGACCAGAATGCTGCATGCACACATGAAGGGGAAAAGTAAAATAATGCAGCAGTATATCAGAGTAAAACAACTGGTTCATAGTACCACTAACAACACTTTTTTTAGAAAGAAAAAAAACAGTTTGAAGAAATGTGTGCAATGAATAAAGTCATAAAAAAAGGAAAATTATGCAGGCAATATTACCAAAAGCATTTATGAGCTTAAAATGTTTTTTTCAAGGTCCCACAGGAGTTTCCCCGATGGCTAACAGAATTGATTCTCTGTACAGCATAGAGTTCATGTTTCCCCTACAACTGCAAAGAAACTTCTGACTAGAGAGAATTATGTACTAGTTCTCTGAGAAAAATAACACAAGAATTTCCACAGATACTCACACAGTTTAAAGCTTAATATATGTCACTGACAGGTAGCAGTCAGTGCTTCCTTCCCATCCCATTTCCAAAGAACTGAGAATGGGAATGCTCACCCTGACAACCAGTTAGGGAGAGATTTTACTGCTAGATCTACAATTAGTCATATTGGTCCTAACATTCAACCCATGGGCATGAGCAGAGACGAACAGCAGAGGCATAAAGAATACACCTACAATGTGAAAAGATGAAAGATGTGAAGGAGACGATGGTTGGAAAGCTTACAGCAGAGTTCAAAAAAGAACAGGTGGTAGAACAGGAGGAGAGCAGCACCTCTTGCTGTTGATTTTAGGTCTCTTCCTCCAAAATTAGTCAGTTTTGTCTCTGCATTTCAATCTCTTTGTCAAATCCCCTATCACATTTTGTATCCTCCTTGGTATCATTTTTATGACTTACAATTATGCAAGCTTTCTGCTTTGAAAAATACAACCATAAATTTTACTAGTGAAGCATAAAGATCACAAAAATCAAGATGTGAGAATAAGACTTTTTCAGGAATAAAGGACTTACTGAAAGGAGACAGCATGAAATGCTAAAAAAAATTTAGTAAAGGACTTCAGATTATTTGCATACCTTCATAAACTCAAATAGTTTTATATGTTTAAAAAATTACTGTAACTTCTAGTTAATAATTACTACAGAAAATGAAACTTAAGCATTTCTTAAGTACATCGGCTAAATAATAACAAATATAAATATGTAACAACTTAACTTCCTGACTTTTACAAGAATGTGAATCAATCTGCCCTAATACTTCTTTTTTTGGTCTACCATTTCTCTTTGAGTTTGTTTCCTCTTAGTCAGACATCTAACTTTTGCAAAGCATTCCATTTCAACTATAAAAGAAAATAAATTCTACTAGAAAATTACTTAAATCTTATCATCAGACTGGGGAACTACAATCAAAGCTCCTCTCCACATTGTTTTTTTCCAAGATTAGAGCAATTTCATATAGCATACCTTTCCAACACCCACTTCTTGATAACTAAGATAGCCTGATGGAAGATTTGCTGATACTGGGATGTGTTGCTCGTTGGTGACCACTCTTCCATCTTTTATCAAAGGAAGCCAAGAATACCCAACTACGGAAGATGAAAGGCAAGTAATTTTAAATATCTGATGAAACTTAACATAAACCCTTACAAAAGTCTTACTGAATAATTTTGATACGTAATTCAGAAACAAGAAAATATTGCTGTAAAGGCCACACAATTTGAACTCAAACAATTAGAAATTACTAAAAATGCAGATAAATTGTCACTGAGTTTCAAGAACACCATACATTTGATGAACATTCTAAACCAACATTTGAAACATTTAAATTAGAAGAAATATTTTATGTAGTCTTTCAGTCGGTATAATGTAAGTAGGAAGCATTACATGGATCACAGAAGTCACAGGTTAACAGATAAGAACATTTCAAAAAATTTCCCCAGTAGTTACTGAAAGTAAAGCATTAGTGTACAAACCTTGTGTTTCAACAACATCTTTCTTCTTTGTACTCCCCTTGCTTGAATTATCACAGCTGACATGGTAGAAGGTGAACAACAAGTGGTGCTTTTCATGCAACTGAGTGGGCAATTCTATTTTAATCTGAAAGGCAAAGAAGTCTCTGTAGAAGTTTTCAGCTAGAGCACTGATATGTGTTACTGGTTGTAGTTCCAGACTATATATTATTTGAAGCAAGATCAAGAATCACACATACAAAACTCCAAAAAATTTACTTACAGTGAAAAGGGGAATCTGATTTAACTGAGAACTTTGCAGTCCTCTAATACTTTCCTGTATTTTTGAAACTTACCTAGTTCGTAACCCAGTAAAAGTTAGCTCAGAAGGGTAGCTTACCTCATCATAAAACTCTGGATTTTGGTGGTGATGCAGAACAGCAGCAAATGCACTTCTTGTAAATACTGGTCCACCAGGCCTACCATAGATACACTTAGAAGAAAGGGAAAAAGAACAGAAAACCCTGTGATCCTTTTTTTTTTCACTCTCAGCTTAGAATGTTTCACCCAGAATTTGAAATACATTAACTTGTGTTAATAATGACAGGGATCTGTGCAAAGGAAACAGTCTGATCAGGGATCAGACTACATGACCTGTAGTCTGCCTGCTGTGCAGTAGAGCTGACTCTGTCATTTCACCTCAAGATGTCTACACATTTCTCTATTTTTTTACTTCCAGACACCTCTTATACACTCTGATGGCTCATAAATAAACATGGAGCTTGGTTCTTCAGTTGACCTAAAGATTTGCTGTTTCAACTTACTGTGGAGTATGCATAAACCACCCTTGTTTGCAACAAGTCTATTCCTGGAATTTTTGTTGATATAAAGAAATTAAATGATCTGAGGGTTCTTTAGTAATCTTTTATATCAAAAACAAGCAAGCCATCCAGAAGTTACTCTTATGCCAAATGCAAAAGGACAGAAGCCACCATCCCAAACTAGATCAATTAATCCAGTACTATTGTGTTACTTAGCTACCTGTTCACTATTTTCTTTTATCTGTTTAAAAAATCAAAAGACTAACCTTTAAAGGCAAAGAATCCTCTTCATCAGAATCCTTGAACTCAATGCACACCGCAATATTTCTAGCCTAAAGCAGTATTTAAAAACATAAACCCAAACAATTAATCATAAGGATAATCACAGAAATAAATCTCAGTTGTAAACAATCTTAACCAAACCTGAGAAAGAAGGTACAGTTTTCCTGCACTCACCTTTGCAAAAGACTTTTGACTGTCATATTTCAAGTGCTTTGGATAAACATAAAGATGATTGTTGTAGATGGTGAAAGGCTGAGTGTATTTTGGTATACAGGGAACAAACTCCTCTATTTCAAATGTTGTTAGTGTCTTGGTGCTGTTTTCAAACTGCTTCATGGGAATGTATGATGAGTTAACATAATCTGAAAATACATTAAAAGAATTGAATAAAAAAACAAAGAGGAAAAAGCCTGAATGACCATCTAACAGTGTTTGTTAATACTTACTTGGAAAATCTGGTGACACGTTATCAATTGTAACATCCAGATTTCCTAAAATAACAGGAAGTTTGGCCATCTTTTCAGGTCTATAGGAAGGAAAAAAAAAAAAAAAATCAAACACCTCAAAGTCAGGCTAAATGCAAATCAGATACCAGCAAAAAAAGATCATAGGAAACAGAGGCAAAAGTAATATCCTGAAATAGGAGTATGAGAGGAAAGGTGTTTTGAGGGTGGATGACTGATCAGGTCTTTTTTGCTTAGATTCACAGTTTTCTTTTCCTTTAAATTCTCAGGAAAATATAAAAGGCTTTATGTGGAAAAGTGTGGAAAAAGTCACAAAAAAGAATGACTTCTTTCTTTAAATCAAAATGAAAAACTTTGACAAAGATAGGTTTTGTTTGCCATGTAATAACTTACTATCATTTGCAGGAAAGAGGGAATCTATAAGTAAGTTTTTAAAATCTCAATGGCCAGTGATAAGCACTCATGGTAGTAGGGTAAACCTGGGGAGGGAAGAGAAATCAGCAAGTTCCTACCTCTTCCTTTTTCTAGACTAAAAACTCACCCTGCAAAACTAGCCAACACTGAAATTTCTTATATGTTATCATGTAACTAATTCAGAAATATGACTTGAAGTACAAGTGTTTTCCAATGTAAAACTATACAGAACCCTTTATTAGTAAAGATAGTTAGCAGCATGATTTTTTAAATTATTGCACAGCAAGTGGGTGCAAAATTTTCCCAAAATGCAATCCCATGCTGTGAAGCAAACAACTTCAGGCTGGTGTCTGGATTCAATTCCAACATCTATGCCTTAGACATTATAACCTATTTCTTACTATAATTCCTGTGAAATACTGTACATGATTCCATAAACAGGATGCTGAAATAATAAAAAGCATTTTCTTAATTCAGAAAGTAAAACGACATGGCAGGCTAATTTACTATTAGTTTCAATTTATGGCAAGGAGTATCAGTACACAGCCATTTCAATGCTACACAAACTTCAATGAAATTTTAAGACACTTGCTAAAAGTGAATTAAAATAACTCTTACAAACCTCATCTCCTTATCAGATTTGTTAAGCAAGAATAAAATAAAGAAACTACAGCCCAAGCCTTTTGTGCTTAGTGATCATTCAAATCAATACCACTCCAGCTAACTCTATCGTAACAGAAGTGGAAACATCTTTGCAAAGCAGCAAAGATTGCTCTATTATTTTACATCCTATTTAATAAGGGGATTAACAACTTTATGAGTATGATCACCTGTCGGTGATACATTGTTGCACACAAACTGATGAAGTCTTTAAGAATACTTTTTAAAAAAAATAATCTACCTTCTGTTATTTAGCCATCCTGAGACATGCACTCCCAAGGAACATGGACTAGCTACTGGCTTGAATCCCTTTTCCTGAGAGCTAGCATTCTCTGCCCAAGGTCAGTGAACAGATGATTTATGCTCATACTTGCTTTCCTTTGAGAACCAGAAGAGCATATTTTGTGAGTATAACTCCTAGCATAGAGCTACTTCAGGCTAGGATGCTGATTGCATGTTACACGTGCCATAATACTTCGGTCCTGCCTGGAGCCCCCAAACACTGCAAAGGAAGGATCTGTAGCCTGTGTGAAGGTCTTGATTATATTTATACAGCTTCCATATTTGAAATTAAAGACATACAAATACATATGTCAAAATATTAGATGCTCCAGTTGAAGAACATAACGAAATATGAGGAGGCTTAGGGTGAGGAATGGGGGGTGTTCAGGTGTTTGTTCGGTTTGGTTTTGTTTTTCGAAGTGGGAAAATTAGACTTACTTCCTGAAATCTGCTAACGATTTCAGCATGTCTTCATTTGAGAGTTTATTACTGTCTTGTCTGAAGAGAGGAGAAAATCTTGCATTTTTGTCCAGAGTTCCTGAGGCATCTTTAAACAGCGTCCTGAAAGTAAAAGTCTTGCCTTCAGCTGAGTTTATGAAAGTGCTGAAATTCACTTCAGGAAATTTCTTTATTAGAAATCAGAGCATACTGCACCATCCTCCATATTAGACATTTAACACTCTTGTAGGTGAGTTTTAACATATAAATAGCTCAGTCTAACAAATAAGTGTGAACCACTTCACTCTGAGTAGCTTAAAAAAATATTGTCAATAGAAAACAGTTGGCAATATTTAATGGTTTAAATAATAATGTAATGAATGTTTATGACTTTTTTCCTACTACAGAGCTGAAGTGTAAATTTGTCAGAAGCTTTGGTTAATTGAAAGCAAAACAATCAACAATTTAAATAGCACATTAAGTTTTACAAGAAGGGAGATGCAGAAAATAATGTTAGAGAAAAGTCAAGAAAAAAACCCCGATTGACAAGATTTGTCCTTACCTAGCTGCCCAGGCAAAAGGCATTCTATATTGACCTAATCTCTGGCATGCCTGCTTAGCATTCTTCAAAACTTTCTGTGCAACCTGCAAGGGACATGAGAAATGCCATGCTTGAAAAGCTAAATTTTTTGCACCACTAGTACACAAGAAAAAAAAATATGTTGACACTGACATGAATTAGAAAATCTTCTTTAGAAGATTAATCCTAAGTATGTGAGTGAAAGACAATTGAAAATGCCTCTTAATGATTCATTTCAGGTTAAGCACAGCCTGTTCATTTCACAGCATTTCACAGGTGAAAACACAGACGTATCTACACCCCTGATAATAAATATTTAATTGAGAAAAAAATTATTATATACAAAACTTATATGGAAAGCTAGAGCAAAAATCAACTGTTTCTTAAGACAAAACTCAAATTCCAGGAAAAAAAACCATTTCAACTCCCATTTGCTCCCCTATTCACCACCCACCCTATGTACCAGAATACATTCCTGCAGACTAAATACTACAATACTCTGCAATATTTGTATTAAAAATACACACGGAATATGGGGAGGACTTTTATGAAGATCACATGTACAATCCTATGCACATGGAAAATCCTATGTAGTGACATCACAATATTGTTTTCATTAAAAGTTCAAATTTTTGATTTTGTTAACTTCTGAAATAACAAAAAATTCCATTATATACAGCCAACATGTACAACAATCAGAGCTAGAAATGCACTGGTATGAGATGTTCAACACTGAGCTGAACCACTTGATCTAAGCAGAAGTTTCTGACAGAGCAGTGGGCTTCTCTTTTCCAGAAATCAGCTTCTCCTATGTGTCTACACAGAGCAAAATTATTCGTCAGAGACAAAACAACCTACAGAGTAAAACTGCCTGAATATTATGTCTGATCTGTGCTGCTGACATTATAAAGAGCTGATTCTATTACTGTGTTTGAGCCAACTCTCCATTATCCTTTCCTGTAAAAAGGGGGAAATGGCACTTGGAAGCATAAAACCTTGGTAAGTAATCATCATGAAATCAATGTTTAAGGGGAGAACAAGTGATTCCTTGGCTACAGAATTTGCTACTTCTGTTTTCCCTTTTCCTTGTCCAGAGTAGTAATTCTGCAGGGAATAAGAACTTGCTCATTGCACTGATACAAATGGAGGCCTATATAACTAGTACTGTTCTGTTTTGTTAATACACTGTAATGCCTATGAACAAGAACTGAAACAAATTTCAAACAAAGTGTTCAGTTGTATAAAATGATAAGCAATTGAATACCAGAAATGTACAGTGTAAGTTAATATAACCAAGAGTGTTCCTACTGGCTATTCCTGCAGCACAGGGCAGCACAAGTCTAGCCTGCAGCATCAAATGTGGGAACACTTGGGCTTGCTCAACCTTCCTATGTGGCTCAAGCCTAAGGCCACCAAAATCAGCTACTCATTTCAGGTTTGTTTTAACTTCAGTAACAGTCAGCATACACTTCAAAACCAGACTCCTAAAATACAAAGCTGCTGTTTTCCAACAATAGCTGAAAAAAAAATCTCAAGCATTCCTGGAAAAGCAAATCAGTAGGTTGATCTATATTAAGACCAAGTGAAAAATACAGGGTCTTTTACGTGTAGCTTGGCCAGCAGTAAATCCATAGGAAAGAGCACTGTTCCTCTGCAGACACTGAAAGTTAACCATTCCTTCTTCCCTTTCACTAGCTGAAAACAGGAAGAATGTCAACAGTAGCTGACAGTGCTTAAAAAACACTTTTCTCTAATATCCTGGCCCATCTATTTAAGTGTAAATCAACAAAATCAAACCTCTATTTCTTCAGTGACAAACAAGAAGCAGCAACTAACAAAACTTTTTGTAGATACATTTCAGAGAACATTAAAATCTTTTGTCATCTGAGACTCCTGAAAACTTAAGATGGTTCAGTGGTTTATTTCTAAAAGTGATTTCGACTTCTCTCAAACCTGCAAAGCATTTTATATATAAAACCAAAAGTTTAATGATCTCAGTGGTTCTGAAGAAAAAAAACATCAAGGGTGCAGATAAAGTTCCAGTAAACTGTGGTCACCAGAAAGTGAGACAAAGGAAAAGTCAACAATGATATAGTACATAAGATGCATTAACTAAGAGAGACATACAGTTAATTTATGATCAATATTTCACTGTTCAAAATTTTTCAACTAAACTTTCACACTGAAGTTCAATACACTTTTGTCAAACCAGTTTAAAGACATTATAAAAATCATAGATTGTCACAATTAGAAAAAGTGAAATAAATGTTTCAAATAAAATGTTAGACTTTATCTATAATGTAATAATAGTTACTAGTAATAACTGAATTTTATTTACTAAATTGTAGTTATCCGAATTTACTAGAAAACAACTAAGGTTTTGATTGATATTTACTAATTCAAAATCAACCTGCTTTGCCTCAGTATTTTGTTCATGCCACAGAAGAAAATAACATACCTTTGAAGAATCTGAACTTTTCATATATGGTTCAGCACAATGTGTAACACTTCCTTGTAATACCTTTTCTATTCTAGCCACAAGGAAGATGTCAGTATGAGGACATGTGACTGAGAATATTCCCTAGAAATGAAACGAGAAATAAATATAAAAGGAAAATGCAGGCAACATTTTACAACACATAATAGAAAGCCATCCAAGTCATACAGGAAAACTCTTTTCTTGTATCCAAAATCCTACTAATTCTTTAGGTTACTAGTTCTTACCTGCTTTGGATATTGTAACACAGTTTCATGAATGTCTTGAATTCTGTGTAAGCTATCACCGCTGCCATTCATCATTTGTTGAGGTACACTGGGTATCATGTGCCTTACTGAGGGGTGGTTCAAATCAACGTGGAAATCTGCTGAAATCTTCCTGTTGTTTTTAATATCAAATAGTGACAATGTGACAAAGAAAGGTTCTACCTAGACATTAAAAAAAAAGAATCAAGTGTCATTACTGGTATCCATATCACTGTAAAAATGTGCCCAAAAGAAAGATGAGTAACATTTTCATAAACACATCCATCACTAGATATTACTGACAAGATGTAAAAGACAGTAAAAGAAAAATTTCTCTCTCTATTGCACAGCAAAAATATTAGCAAAGTTACTTTTTGTAGGATTTAGGTTTTCATTTTGATTTAAAAGAGTAGAAAAAAAATCCCCATAATACAAACGTCTCAATCACAGCAAGGAATCCCCGCCATTAAGACACTCATTGACATATTAACAGAAAGTAATTAGAATAATTATTTACATTTGTTGTCGGTCCTTCTTCGTTTTCTGCAACGCAGCTTTGCAAATTAAAAGATAAATCGTTACACCTCACAAGAATTTTTTTTCCAAATTTCTCTTCAAATGGTTTCACTTCTGGTTCAATACTAGAAAAGTCTAGTTTCTTTAAAAAGAGAAAATAAAAATTACAGTAAGTTGGTTTTCATCTCAAAATGATCAACATAAAAAAAACACTGCTTCCTTTTAAGAAGTCTAACCTGTGCATCTGGATCCAAGGCAAAAAGCTTAACTCTGCTTTCACTTTTCAGCTTGATTTCTGCTTCTCTGGTACTCTGTTCAAAATAAGAAAAAAAAGTCTTAGTATTGCACTATTAAATAAAAGTGGATTTTAGTGTCATCCCTTTTCTGTGATGTTCAAAGCTTTACACATTTTTAATTCATGCATTTGTTTTTCCACTACTGAGCTTTGTAATTCCTTAGTTTACATTGCTCCACCATGTCTAAGTAAAAAGTGAGAGCCTCTCCTCTAAAGGCTTTCTTCCAGGCCTAGAAGTCTAAAAACTTATATCAGCAACATGTAACCTTCCAAGCTTATGGGAAGTATACTCCAGCATAACTTACATAGTACTTTGCCTCCTTAAACAACGACTTTCACAACATCATTTTATTTAAATGAAAAAATAAATTATGACTGTAGGTTAAAGCTCAGAGCTATCCTGAGAACATAAGATTGCTCAGGAAACAACAGATCATCTAAATTAAGAAACACCATCATAGCTCCCTTTCTTTTTTCTTTTTCTTGGTTGCTTTCTTTTTTTGCTTCTCTTGAGCTCTATTGCCAAAGAAGTGGTTTTCCTGTGGGTAGCTGGAAAAACCTCCAAAACTTCCAAAGGATAAACCCCTCACACTTAAAAGTGACTTTGCGGAGTTCACTGTACACTGATCCTGCCTGGGATTTGTGGATAGCCATCTATTAACAGTAAAACAAAAGCGAAGTGCTACAAAATAGAATGTGAAAACTGACCGTATACACAGGTTACCTTTTTTGGAAAAAGGTATTATTTAAAGAGTATTCTATGATTTTTAAAGTCACAGGACATGACAAACGAACATATGCATGTGCCAAAATTATCCATGCAGGAGAGCTGCCATTCCCAAAGTAGCAGCTGGCTAAACAGGGATACAAAGTATTACATTACAGACAGGTGTCTCTCTTTGGATTAAGCTGTATGGGTTAAAAGAAGTTACAAACTCAAAATTCTCATCACTGACCATCAGCTGGAAGTGATCTACTGCCTACATCTGCTTTGCTGGAGTTTGAAGCAACTTCTCCTACATCTCAAGAAAAAGAAAAAAACCCAAACCAAAACAAAAGAACATAATCTAAGAGCTCAAAATCCTATTTTTAGGTGGATAACAGAAATTTAAAAAATAATCTGGTTTAAAGGATGTACTACAGAAAAAAAACTTCTGAGGTGCTATTTTGAGTAAAAATGCTCTAATGATTTTCATTTAATTTACTTTGTTATCTTTAGCACACACAGGAGAAAAAACAAGAGTTGCTGTGAAAGAGATGACCCAAATACTCGATACCAGCAGAGTACTGCCAGAGTCTGCTTGTTCAACAGCAAAGTCTGGTATGACTGAGAAATACAGGAACGTGAAGAAGTTTAAAGATGGCAAAAAGTTGTGTGCATGTTTTGCAAAGGCAATAATCAGTGGCAAGAACTGAGGATGAACATGACCTAGTCAGAAGAGCAAGATAGAAACTGTTTCAGCTAAAGCATCTTGAATAGTTTTAGAGGCTTTGGTGTTTTGTGCACTAAAGACAAGACGAATATATGCATTTTTGACTGACAGATCAGGGACAGTGTTCAGAAGTCAAGAACAGAAAATGCATGTAGTCATTGACCCTCTCTATAGCATAAGTGACTCTAATTTAATTTCCTCATCTGTAAAACAGAGAGAATATTTTCCCACCTCAGTGAATTTTGGGGACCCATAATGGCTAAGGAGGTACTTGGGCACACTTATCACGACAGTCACACAGTTATTTTAGAGGGCTAATTCGTTTTATTTCAGGATTAAAAAACAAAACAAAACCAAACAACTCCAAAAACAACCGAACAAAAAACCCGAACAAACACCCACTACAAAACCCCTACATTTGCTCTTGGTACTTACATTATAGATAAAAGGACTGTGACGTAGGCAGGAAAGACAGACAGAATCAGATATATGTGTGCACATCTGTGCACTGAAGTGCAAAATACCATCTTATTTAATTTATATCATAAACTAGCAGCTGTTGATAGAAAAATCAAGGCTTGGAGATGTACTCACAAGGGTTAAACCCTTCCTGAGAGGACTGTTTTTTCCCCTATTGTCAGGTGCTCTACAATCCCCCCTGAAGGAATTTCTCTCTCCTCATAAGGATATGAGGTCAGCTATTGTGAAATTCTCCTAGAACCAACAAAAATAATAGAGCAACTATAAACTCATCTAAGAGAAGGCCCAATGCCTTGTAAGGCTTCCACTGGGGAAAAAAAGAACTAAATCCAAACAACAGCTGAAAAGACAGTGCAAGAATGAATAGAGGACAAAAAAAATCCTCAAAACAAATAGCATTTATATAAAGCAATTGAGTTAAGGCACAAACAGCATACCAATGCATACAGGTAGACTTTTCTGTGTTCTTCTCCTCAGGAAAAAAAGAAGGCTAGGACAATACATTACCGTGCATTATTTTAAAAGGTAGTGTTTAGTACAGATAAACTAGAATGGGAAAACAAAAAAACTTATTTTGAAATTTAAATGGGTTATAACTATGGAATAATAATAAAAAAAAAAAGCCAGTGCTTAAAGAGGTGATAAAAATAACACACTAGAAAAATACCAAGCTTAAAGAGCTACACGTTTCCGATCCAAAGGTTATGGAAACAGGAAGCAGCAACTGTAGTACTAAAGCCATATGCAGGTGCTGCAGCCCTGAATTAAAGTGTCTTCTGTAAGGAATATGGAACCTAAACATTACAATAACTCTGACTATAAAGAAAGAATAATCTTCTGTACCAAAAAAAGCATCTAATTTTGTATTTGTTTCTGAAATAAATTTTCATAGCCTCATGTAAGTGTGATGTTTGATGCTTACAGCTCTTCCAAGGAAACCTTGATTGTATGTACCACAATCCCAATTCATTTCCAAATACAGAGGTATCTGGAGCTAGATTATCACATAATAGCTTTTTGTGTATATGTGCTAAATTGATTACAAAGCAGTATCAGAAAGAATTAAGTCAGCCAACCAATTTGGGTGCTAAAAGCTTGTTAACATATTCTGACTGGATCTTTTGATATTAGCTACCCTAATAGATAGAATTTCGTTTGCTTGTTCTCAGTTCATAAGCTTTGCTTCCTTCGGGAGTAGTTACTAGGTCAGACAGATCCTCCATAAAGAAGGAGAGAGCATTCCAGAGCATGGTCAACTAGAAAAGTTTCAAGACTCCAGGCTGCACCACGCAGAAGAAAAAGGAAGTTACAGGAAAAAGTTTGGATTCTGCAACTTCAATAGAAAAGGTCATCAATTACAGTACTTGGGTGATTTAACAAAAATTTCTCCTTTACAGAACTCACAAAATTTATTGCAACATGCAAGTCCCTGATTTAACTGAAACAAAGTCTGCAAATGGGCTGAGGAAGTTACTTTTATTTTCTACTTCTTTCTATTTTATTTTATTCTAATTTCCACCACACTTCTGCAAGAACAAAATTGAAAAGCAAAAACCATGGCACTACAGGAATGATCAATGAATCTGCCAGGTCATTATAAATACAAACATCTTAAAATACTTCATCACTTCTATTAAGCTGCTCTGGATTTTTTAAATATAAAAATAAAACTTAATTTCAGTATAACTAGATTTCTACAGAAATACTTAAGGACTTACCTGCATGCAATAAACCCATATAAAATACAATTAATTAGTAAAATTATAATAAAACATGCTGGATTGAAATAACATGTCCAGAGTTATATAGGCAACTTCAAGACAGTATCTAGATTGCTTATAAAAGCAGAAAATGAAGCAGCTCAATAACCATATTAATGAAAGAGCTTCTAAGCTTTGAAAGCATCACAAACTGACTGAAAGCTAGAAACCAGTGTCTTACCTTTACTGAAAGTTCATGTAGCTAACTTATGTTTAGTACTTTATATCCTAAATTGACATTTACTATATATATATATTACCTTGGCAATTTCAGGATAGTAGTTATCAAAACTACTTGATGAGCTTTCCAGTCTGCTTTGTTCATCATCTGAAATTATAAAACCACATTTTAAAATAAATAAAAAAACCTAAAGTACTCACAAAACTCCATAGCAAAAATTATTTTTTTTATCTCCTACCCCCTCAAAAATGACAACTGTTAACATAAACAGGTTGTGGACAACTCTATCATTACATTTTGATACAGTGACTTCTTGGAAGATGTAACTAGTAACAAAAATCAGTATAGTAGCAGTTATTTGTAATCTTACCTAGAACACAGCTTTAATATTAATTTTGATATCTGCACGGGGAAAGGGGATACTCAATACACAAAATTTACATTACTCTTTCCACTATTCATTGTAACTTGATTTCAAAACAAGTTCCCTCTGTTCATTAGGTTCCCAGCTCTACTCTCCAACAGTTACTGGATTTACAAAGCAACCATTCAGTTAGCTATAAGCATCTTACAGTTCTAAGGTCAAATGGGGACCACTGACTAAAATGTCTTTCACAGAACTACAAGCTTCTCCTTTTCTGATCTGGCTTTGTTGTAAACACCACGCTAAATTCTGACAGTCTTCAAAGATGTGATATCTCACTTTAAACTGTAATGATCCCTTTAGGTACTTGTACTTTCACAATATTTTCCAGGTTCTTCTGGATATGCATATTGTTGGTTTCATACCAGCTTCCCTCCCCATCCATTCTCAGGCTAGAAACCCTGCGTACCTTCATGAGACTCTCCATTTCTTTTTTCTTGCATTGCAGCCTCGAAGTTAAGCTGAAGGATTTTGTTCAGAGTGTTTATCCACTCTTCCATTTCAAGTTCACTGTCAGCAGCTAGAAGATAACTACTCTTGTCTTGCATCTTGAGCTCAAATGCAAAACGTCTGACCTTATTATTCTATAAGAAAATAAAAGATCTGTGTAATATCTTTACATACTGTCTAATCAAATCAAAGAAAGTTAAACATATTTCAGATGTTTTATACAGAAATACACAGTTTCACATTTTGAACAAGTGCATTATAATTACACTTTTTCGTCTCTGACATTTGACCTTCTGAAGTCATTTGTACCACTGCAATAAGAGCAAGTAGGAAAGATAACAGCCTATTTTCCAGCTTCCCTTAATCATTCTGGTTGCCATCACCTTAAAAAAATCCTAAAAATCAAATTTCCAAGTATCAATTGTTTATGTACCCAGATCATCTGGAAATGAAGCTAACCAAGATCTACTAAAGAAAAAAAATTAAAAAAGCAAAAAACTCCATTAATATCTGAGTGACAACTGTTTGCACACAGGGATTTTATACCAGAGATAAAATCATAACCAACATCAGCCGTGAATTGCTAGTCTTATAAATATACATGAAGTTGGGAATCAGTTCCTCCTTTATTCCTCAACCATTACTGTCATCCTTTTTGCCCAGTTTAAATCAAGCCTTCAAATGCTACCTAGCCTGACTCATGTTTCTGGGAATGAATCTTAAATGAAAATTCTGTATTATCATCAATTTAATTTTAAAAATTGATAATTCATTAGATAAACATTACACTAAACAATATGACAGACTTAATGGTTGGGGGATTTTTGTTTAAGTTAAATTAAATGCCAAATTATATTTTAGTTTCACTGTACTTCAGATTTTTCAATTAACAGACTAAGTACTGGTTGGCAAAACAGTCAGCTTTCTACCAAAGATCAGTTTCTGTTAAGAAGGATACGAACAAATGTACTCCAGATCTATATGGATCTATATGTATGGACTCCAGATCTATAGGCAGTCTTACCAGCAGAAATCAGTGATGAAGTAAATGAAAAATCCAAAGAACAGTAACCTCTAACTTTCACAGAATAAAATCTTGACACAGGTGGTACATATCACACTTCTCAGTTTTCACAAGACACTGAATTAGAGCAACTATGACTTTATATGTGGCTGTCTGTGTGAACAGTTACACTGCACATATTATGTGCTCCACATCGCTGATCAGAAAAGTCTCAATATACTTTAGTATTAAAACAATAACCCCAACAAAACAAAACCCAGAAACCCCAAAAAGTATTCTGGGAATTCCTGTCTCTTCATTTAAGTTTGGGGGAAAAAAATCCACCCAAACCAAAAACCCCAACCAAACAAAACCCTGCTATTGTACAAATTCAGCATTCCTCTTATACAAGTATTGACAAAGGAGCATATTCTGCTCTATCTTCAGTGTCTGTTAGTGAAGTCAGTATTTTTCTCTCGGGCATCTACTGGCTTTGAAAAAATAATTATGCACGTGTACTAAATGAACTCAAAAACAGAAATGAGAAATGTTATAGGAATGCAATAGTAACTTATCTCCCCTCAGTAGAAAGACTAGCTCTGAAACAAGTAGTTTCATTCTGAGAACAAAAGCCTGGCAGCATGCCTACCTAAGAAAAACCATTTCTATGAACTCCATGTCAGACTACTCCAAAGTACCGTGGCCACTTTATTTTCCTCTTCCGTTAAATAGAAATGCAATTTCTACCACTTTTTCCCCCATAACAGTTTATAGTTGCTAATACAACACCAATAATAAGTAACAGTAAAACAATAAAATTAGATCAGTACATAATATAAAATAATAAAATTACATGTCTGGAATAGGACCATTATATATTTGATATAATATATTTGGTATAATATTTGATAATTCAAAATATTGTTTACTTGCTCCTCACCAACAATTCGAGTGAAGAAAATAGCTATTTTCAAACCTCATTATTCTAGCTACTGAACGACTACCTGGTTTCTTAAAAGCGAGCATTAACTGGTTTTGACTTTGCATCTGATGTTGATTCATAACTTAGTTTCAAATTTTTACATGCAGTTTTGAAGACCAGATGTCAAGACGAACACTGACGGTACAGTAAAATACAGTATAGTGTTTGAGACACAAGCCAGTTATTAATTCTAAAGCATCCAAAGGACAGTTTTACTCAAGAACAAAGGAAGAGTAATAAATTTTTTTTAAAAAAAAAGCAAGCTTCTGGAAGAGTCTGAGGAAACTTCAGGTTACTTGAATTGAACTGACAGAACAGAAAGTATGAACACTATGAAAGTATGAATAAGAAAAAAGGAGATTTTCAGGTTTTAAACCCCAAAACCATAAAATCATAGAATGGTTAGAGGTTAGAAGGGGCCTCTAGTGGTCATTTCATCCAACCTCCCTCCTCAAGCATGGCCAACTAGAGCCAGTTGGCACAGGACCATGTCTAGGAAGCTTTTGAAGATCTCCAAGAATAGAGACTCCACAAGCTCTCTGGGCAACCTGAGCCAATGCTCAGTCACTCTCACAATGAAAAACTGATGTTTGGAGGGAACCTCCTCTGTTTCAGTTTGTGCCAACTGCCTCCAGCCCTGTCACTGGGCATCACTGAGCAGAACCTGGCTCTGTCCTCTTTGTACCCTCCCTTCAGGTATTTATATACGTTGACGAGACTACAACTGAGTTTAGGAACCCCTCTTTTGTTTGTTGGTTTGTTTTAAAAACACAAATCAAACTCATTTCAGTGGAGTTGGCCAGAATTGTACCTCTAAGGCAAAACAATTTTTGTAAAATTGTATATAGAACTCGCAATATGGTTAAATTTATTACAGTTCTAAGATTTCAATGCAAATTGCCTATTAAATATGTATCAAAAACATCACTACAATATTTGGGGGAAAAAAATCCTCTGTACAGCTGCTGTATCTCTTTGTTGAAATCAAACAACCTTATACTAAAAAAATATTATTTAAGAAATACATTTTTATTAAACTTCAGCTACTTCCATGCAAGTTAAAAAAAAAGTACTAAAACCCAAGGGTTTTTTCCAGGTATGCTGTGCTTAACAGAACAGTTACAGGCTGTACTATAAATACATAACAGAATCACAAGAAAAAGAAAAATAAGCTTTTCTTTGGCACTTGTTACTGACAAACATTTGACCAAAGCCCTTAACTTTTTAAAATAAAGAAAAGCACACAAAAGTAACAGTATAAAGGTCAAATGAAAGCATCTGGAAGGGTGACTGAATTTAATACAATTCCCACAACAAAAATCCCACACAAGAAGCTATGAAAAAAATTTTACAGCTCATGTTAGTACAGAATCCAACTGAAATGAACTTCAGTTTTGTGCTGTCATTAATTTGCCATGATTTAAGTTTTGGGTTCTTTGTGCGTTTGCCTTAAAATCTGGTTAACAACTAGTAATTTATGTTCTTTTCAGAAGGATTTTAAAAATTCAGTCTCCTGCCCCTTGAAATCTTGTTCACTGCTTTTGCAAGATGCAGCATGTATATCTGTTCCTCTGCATAACAGGTACTTATCGACACATAAAAACACTTATCTGTATTTTGAAAGAAATTGCATTTACCATCAAATACAGAATTAACTGGAAAACAGGCAGAATAATTATAATTACCTGAACTACTCCCATGCACGAATCTAGAAATATTGATCCTTTTGGTTCTTTTGATATTTTTTCATCTTTGTAGAAATTGAGATTATAGGATCCATCACCAAGTTGGATTAAGTGGAAAAATCTTCTTTTAAATGACTAGTGAAAAGAAAGTAGGAAAGAAAAGCAGTTACAACACCAGTATTAACCATCTTCATATTACAATACCCATAAGTGCTACTTACACAGTAGGTAATAGAAAAAGAGCTTTTATTTACAAATAACCTAATCAGTATCCTCAGAAAATAAACCAGAAATGATTAATTAAAAGAAAATTAACTTATGAGGATCTGCAGCAGAATTGTATATACAAATTGCCAGTATTTTTGACCTACTGAGGGATATCTAAAACTGCCTCTACAATATTATCTCGGCTAGGCTTCGCGAACGAAGATTTGAGAAGGATTCTATCCACACTTGCTACAAGCGCGCTGGTGGCTAAAAAGGCCAATGCCACATCCAGTTGCAAAAGGCACAGCGGAAAGTTTCCTTAGGTGGTATTGGCAAGACACCGTTCGTTCTGCTTTGTCTTTTCTCCTCAAAAATGGTTCTGCGTGTGTTCTCAAAAGAAGCAGCAGCGTTATAGATGGTGTGTCTCCAGACCTCCTGATTGGAGCCCAGAGTAGACCAATGATGAAGATCAATATGGCCAAGGCTGAGATATTATTTCAGGGAGTCCTTGTATCTCCTCTTCGGGGCTCCTCTCTTGTGGCAGCCAGTGGCAAGTTCACCATAAGAGCACGAATTAGGGAGGCAGTAATCCTCCATCCTGGAGACGTGCCCTGCCCGACGCAGCTGCGTTCTCAGCAACACGGCCTCAATACTTGTAACTGACAATATTATACGCAATAGATATTTATTGTGACAACCATAAAAACAATTAGAATTTGTTTCTAAATGAAGAGGCAAATAAAACCCCTATATTTTTATATAAAAAGAGGCAATACAAACAAACAAAAACCCCTCCTCCTATTACACAGTCCTTTTTCTACTACCATCACACAAGGGTACAGTTAAGAAAATTTAACTTCTCCCACATATCGGATTTTTCATGTATTTTTTCCTGATTTATGTATAATAAAAAGATAGCAAGATTTCAGATATATAAATTACATAAAAGCTTCCCTCTTTCATGTCACACAATTTTTTCTAGAACTAATCCACATACAAGTTCACTTTTCAAAGGCACAGGGACGTTTAATATTGGTGTTCAGTTTTTTACCATGCATAAGACATTCTTAAACTTACTCTCATTGTCACACTGATTGCACTATTCATGTTGCCTTTGTGCAGCCATCCTTGTTTTGTTATTCCACCCTTTTGAGACCCAAGAGATGCTGCATCCTGGAGATGAAAAAGGAAGATGGGGGAAGGAAAAAAAAGATCAAGTTTTGTATCACAGTCTGAGTAGTATTTATCAAAAATTTCAGAAGTCACTTTAGAAGCTGGAATAACTACGTTCATAATGTAATGATAATGTGCCATGAGTCCCTGCTGAAATTCTGTAGCTTTCTAATTATTTCATTTAAAGACCTGGGGTGAAATCGACCTAATCTAACTTTTAATATGTAATCTGGCCACTTATACAGGCTTTCTCTATGGTCAGAAGGATGATCCAGCTTATAGACAGCTAAATGTTAGTCAAGATAAATCCCACTGCAATAGTGGAATGAGGAAACAGTCAAAACATTTACTTACATTGACTTTGTAACCTTTTTCATATATTCTAATCTTGAAGCACATGATCTTTTACCAATTTCTATTGCCAAAAAGAACAATGTAAATACATGCCTCTCCAAAACTTCAATCGAGATTTCTCAAATCATTTTGTTTTATATGCAGTACTTCAAAGACATTACTTACTTAAAAATTTACAGAGAACTAAGTCTTGAATTCTTGAATTGGACCTGCCCTTTTACAGATCAGAATCAAAGCTTTATAAAGAGAACAGGACCAAACGTGGCACCAATGGCAAGTTCACAAACAGTAGATCCAATGCACGCATCACACATCACACCTGTATACCTGTATACTGTGCCTGTATACCATACCTATCTGCCAGTTGATGGAAATGAGTAACTGCATTGAAACCCTTAGGATGTCAATAACTACCAAAACCCAGCACACTGCTATCAAATCAGATCGAGAAGCCAGATTTATAATTGCCACAGAATAAATATTAAATCACCAGTTCCAAGTAATCTTTTAGAGTACTCCCAAGCTGACTTTGCCATGGTTTCCAGTTGACATAACCAATTTTGAAACAAAACCATTAATGAATTAGACATGTAGGAAGATTTTCAACCATCTAGAAGATAAATACTCCTGGTAATTTATTACCCAAACATAATAATATGAATTAGTTTTTGGAACTAAATCAAGGAACGTTCTGTAAAAAGTTACTAGGTAATTTATTTACAGCTTATTTAGTTTGTCTAGCTTGCATATTCATATGCATATGCACATGTGAACTTCAAAAAACTGTGAATAGAAGGCAAAAGATGCATCAATCTGTTCCTTCAAAATTGATAGTCAGCTTGGCACTATGGAAGCTAGGCCCATTAAGGATGACATGGTCACCAACTATCAGAGCATCTGATAGAATGCCTCAAAAGCATATACCAGAAATACTCAGTAAATTTTCATTTGCCTCAGTGAGTCTCACTGTCCAAGCAATACAGTGGTCTTGTTTCATATTTTTCAAGTCATTAGTCTCCACCCTTATTGTATTACCTAGATAACCATTTTTCTTGTAAAAGAATCAAGATACAGAGATAACTTAAAACACGGGGTTTCCAAATGTGATTCTTCACCTGGCATGAATTAACTCCAAAGGAAAGGGTGATGTAAAACCACCTTTACAGGTGTTGAGATGATGAATAGATCATGAGTTACTGTCAAAATTTGGCACAAAACAAACAATGCTTATCTATAACTTCACAAACCAAACATAGGATCATCTGACATTACAAAAACTCCTACATTACCTGTGTAAATAAAAATTAGGATTTAGCTCCCTTAAGACTCTTTTCCCAACTCCCAGTCTCTGAGGTGCACGGTTTCCCAACTCTGCGGAGCTGCATGCTGTTTTCTAACAATAAAACTGATCATCATTTGGGCTTCTCCAGTTACACCATATCTTTCCGTCAGGCGTAACTCCTGCCTACAGAGCCAAAAAGCTACTGAATCTTTCCAGCTGACCATCTGTTAATACAAAGGAACCCAGAGTCCAGTTGTTAACACATGACTCTTACACTGAAATCATACTTCCTGTTTCCAGCTGGTAAGGTAATTTCCTCACTTTTATCATAACTGCTGCACGCTGTGCTTAAGTTTTTTTAATTATCTTTCCCACAAACTTGGCTTCAAACTTTACTTCAACAGCAACTGTTTCAACAAAAACAAGCCCATATCTTGATCACATAGTAGATTTAAAAATTCCGTTTACAAACATCAACCTGATGGCCTGATAGCCCAAAATAGTTTTGGATAGGTAATTCTCTCCTTTTTAAAGATGCATGATTAAACTAATCTCTATCTGATTTTCCTCCAAGTTTTAATCACTTGTAGCTTCTTTTTTTCGATCATTCTCATAATAAATCAGCTTTCTTCAAACACAAACAAAAGTGAAACAAAAAGAAGACCAAACAACTTTCAATCTAAGATTTGCATCTGTGCTTTTTGGCATAGAAAGATGTTAATGTTTGAAAGAAAAACCTCTTGCATTAATTCTTCCCTCGATGAAAGAATTTATGATGTCCCCCCACCCTATTGTCCCATTAACTTCCCTTTTCTTCCTAGCATGCTTTTCTCTTGTGTTTATACTTCAAGTTCCTCAAAGAGTAGCAGACCTGTTCTCCAGTGACTGCACTTTGGAAAGAGATACTCCGTTCTTGCCTGCTCTAACAGGAAACCGGACAGAAGGAAACAGGAAGTCCTTTCCCCTTGTACTTCCTAGTAAAATACATACCACTTGCTAATAGTCAAGTTATAGTTTTTCAGTGTTTAACTAACTCTAGCCGTAAGTATATTTACTAGTAACAATTACAGTCAATTATATATTAATTTAGTTTTTTAATGTTTAACTCGCTGTTTTCTAAAACACTTCTGCCATCAGAAATATTATCACAGTAAAAAATGCCAAGTCTTTTAAATTTCAGTATAGTAGAAATCATCACTATTGCCATCCTACATATAGGAAGTTTTGGACACAGATGTATGAAATTATTTGGCCAAATATCACAGTTCAGATTAATAGCAGTGCTGGATAAATGGCATCCCATGACTATCTGTTCAGGAATCTATCTACTCAGATGAATTCCCTAACCTACTTCAGTTTTAATCCTTTTATTTCATGTGTAGCAGCTTTCAACATCAGGAATTTAGAAGCAAAGTAATTGTCAAGAGGTTAAACTATAAAAAAGAAAAATTATTTTAATTCTTTTTTGAGAGGTAAGAGTTCAAGTACTTGTCAGAAAAGAAAACAGTGGCATTTAAGCACTGTGTTTCAAAACAGGGTGTGGTAAAAAATGAATAAATCACAAAAATAACAGAGGCAGTTGCTGAAAAAAAAGTCTTTGTCATTTGAAATATACTGGAAAATTGCTTGAGGCTATACATCTCTGGTTATTCTCTAAGCCTAAAAGAGAAAATACTTAAAGTTTTAGATAAGTTTTTAAGATTTTGTTTCCATTATAGCTCTCCAGCTCTTACCCTATATTCAGATTAGTGACAAACTAATTTTAACTCACACTGTATGTTATTTAAGTGCATGTGCTGTCATGGTGGAACACATGCACCTATGATTTTACTCAACTTCATGATTAAACCGCATGAAACATTTCTCTCTGTAAACCACTCTTACATAGACACAGTATAAGACATGACAGATTTTATGAAAGGGGAAGGATTATACACCACTAAGTATTAAAACTTCAATTTCACAATCTGTCAAACTTCTATTTACATGACAGACCTCAGGAGAACAAGGCCATTTGAAAGGAGATAGAGATTAACTTGAACTACTGCATTGGGAAACAAATTAGCTATTTTATCTGTCTCATTTACTGACATTAACACTTCATCAAACTCGCAACATTCTTTAATGAAAACATGAGAAAGTAAGGAATTACGATTATCTCACCTCATCTTTATCTGCTTCTTCATCCACTTCATATAAATGAACAGGAAGCTTCTCTGATTTTGTCCCTTTACTAGGAAAGAAAAACCTTCTGAAGTACTAGGAATTTTGTGATTAGTTACATATTTTATAGCTGCAAAAATTAAGATCTTCTTTTCCTAACTGAAGAGGCAAAGGCACAAGAATAATTAAGTAAAAGTATGTAATTTTCATTAAGTATATTTCTTAGACATCAATTTTCCTCATTTGTACATCTGCCCACAGTCTTTCTTTTGTTCTGCTTGTCACTGTCCTAATGTGTAACCGAAGAGAACAAGTGCTTTCTCATTCACTGCATTCCTCATATCTTAGGAGCAAGAATTCATACCTGCAACCATTGGCTCCTTGCCAGACAATGCATTTATTTAAATTCCTATTGACTATTGTGGTTTCTATTAAGGGCAAGTAAAAACCAGGTACTGACTTGTACAAAACCTGTGAGGGTATCAGAACTTCTCATAGGGAAAGATAACTATTTCTTAACTGATAGATGCAGGAGAGTAGTTAGGGAAGACACAGATCTTCCAGAGTTGGGGTATTCAGAGTATTTAGCCATTATCAAACATTTTAAGTTAAGTTTCTAATCTCTATACTCTCCCTAGAAAATTTTGAAAAAGTATGAAAAGATTTCTCTAGCAGATGGTTTAGAATGTCTGTAACAGATGTAGATTAAGCTTTTACTTTGAATTATCCTGTGAAAACCTGCTCTAACCATCTTGGTTAGGTTCTATTCCCTGAGCTCCTAAAGGGAGTTCCAAAAGCTGCCTTTGAAGCTATGGAAACAGGATATTAATATTTTAGTTTCATCTAAACATTAGTCTGTTTTAGTTATCATACTTAAAATCACATTGTCAATGAAACAGTGTCTTGTTTTGACTTGCCTATTAGTAAGGCAACACTATTACAGTACCTTTCCAGAAAATGCTTGAAGAAGACTTTATGGTTCAAGTTCATCAATATAAATTCCACCCAACAAATCTTTATCATCTCTACTGACTATTAAACATTGATATAGCATATTTCAGTTTACATATTACACATATTAATATACTTCTATAATAAATAAGTTTATATTAAATACAGTTAAAGTTCCTTCACAAATTCAATTTATTACACCCTTAGATAACATACTTACTTTGGAAGCTGTCGAAACTCTCCTGAGTAATCTTCATATCTATAGTTAACAACATGCCAGTCTGAATTGTAGGTTTTGATGCACTGTTTTAATGAAAACCAAATATCAGTATTAACTGGAAAAGGATTAAAGGCATTCACTAGGCACAACACAAGAAAACCTCCTAAAATATGGCTGTTTATGAACTACTATGGTTACATGTCAACCTCTGCAAATTCTCTACACTTTCTTTCTTTTGCCAATAGCCTAATGCAATATAGCTTTTTGGAACAAATTATATGTTTCAATGGAATGTTATCATCCACAAGACATGTTTTATAAAACCAGAATATGGTGAATGCACTCAGCATCTGGATTAACCATCTTCAGTTGTCCAAAAAGTTAAAGCAGCATTTCACTACAGCTGAAAAAGCAACTCAGCCTTTAGAAAACTCAATTTCAATTTCACATGTACAGATACAGAAAAATAAAAACATCTTTTCCTTAAATTTATACTTCTAGTGCAATTAAATTAACATTTAAATTTAAACTCTGCGCTTGCAGTGGTTAAAAAGCAATTATGTCATTAAATTCTGATCTAGATTACAGGAAATACCATTTCACTCCACCCATATTGTCATAACATAAAAGTACTGATTTATCTTGGCTTTGAACAAAGTAACATAAAACTGACAAAATCTGTTGACAGAAACCATTCCATGCAACATTTTATGTTATACAAATAAACCTACATGTACACTAACACAGCATCTAAGAAATCACAAATATTTTCTTTATATTTCAAAATACAAGCTTAATACTTGCCAAGCAATTGGTTCTGCAGAAACTCAATTAACTACATCAATTACCTATGCCATTCCTCCCTTCTTGTCTATCCCCTTCAATTTTATCTTAGCAATGTTTAGGTTAGGTATAAAGGATATGTATCAGTGCGAATAAATCACTTTGAGGTAGATTCAGCTATTTGGAACTCCTTCAGTTTTACTGGAATTACAACAGCCATTTACTTGTTTTAGATGTTAAAATATCATCTTAAAACATATCAGTAAAAAAACAGTAGATAATACAAAAAAGACAAAAATTTTAAACCTTTCACTCCTTAAAGGCTTCCACAAAACCCTAAATGAAATGGAACCACATAGAACCAAAGGAATGACAACATAAGCAAACAGTTTTGAGAAACTTTAGGTTCAAGATTGTTTCTTCTACACACAGCATACAAGCTGAGCAGTCATAATGAATTTTGGCCTCTGCAAATGTTACAGTTATGAATACCTCCATTCCAGCAAACTGTACATGATTATTATGAACAAACTAAGAATGACTGGTGTGAGACAATCTATCAGGAAAAACAAGTCACGACAATTCATTTGAGATTTACTAGTGGTCACAATATCACGTATGGAAATCATCCATGTTCATCTGGGAAAGCCAAAAGTATAAAGAAGGTGGAAGCGAAACATCTCCAAGGGCCAATTATAGATACAAAATAATTCAAAGCTATCCACTAACCCTTGTTTTCCAGCCACCAGTGGAAAACAGTTCTAAGTTTCCCTGGAAATTTTCCCTTGAAATCACTGACAAGTAAAAGGCAATAAATATTTAATTTTTTTCAGAGCTTATTTTTCTGTTTGTTTTTAAAATAGTAAATGAAGTAGAAGAAAAACAATTCAGGTATAATATCATTATTACACACAGCCACATGCAATTTCAATTTTACCTCAGTTACAAACAAGCTTTGAGCTTCCTTCTCTGCATTTTCAGGAACTGTTGAATGAATGTATCGACTCTGCCGCTGCAATAACGCTGTCTGGTAGGCAACAAAAGCAATTAATGAAACTTGTAACTAAAGGAAAGATGACAAATTATGGCAACACTCAGTTATATCTAACAAAGAAAAGCTCAGCAGAAAACATCCTGTGAATATGATGTTTCAGAATAGCCAATTAATGGGAATTTACTACATATAAAAACTATTACTCAAGCAAAATAAAAAAAAAAAACCCACAGCAAAATAACAGGGTAGTTCAATTGCAGATCTCAGTTGGCAAAAAAATGAGGCTTGCACTGTTCAACTGCAGGTTCAGAGAGAATGCCTAGATCCCTGAAGTATATATCCACTTCAGCCTATCAAGTCAGAACTTATTCCTATTCTATGCCACTGTTCAGAGCAGCATAGAAAGGCTGCCAGAGAACAGGAAATCTGTGACCAGGAAATTCTGCTTCTCAGACCGGTGCTGAAGTCAGCCTTAGCGTACTTTAAATTTTTAACTGCAAATGATGAAAGCTTTACAAAGTCTTCTGGACCCCAAATGAAAATAACTACACGGGAATAGAAATTGTTTTGCACCATGTGGAAAGGAATCTTATAGCTAAAGTCATCAAAGGTGAACAAGAAAGTTTACATAGCCTGGACCTGGAAGGGGGTTGTGGTCCCTCACTTGTTATCTATATTCCACACATTGCAGTACCAGGAAGGATCAGATAAAAATATGGAAGAAAAAAACTCCACGTTATTGTCAAAAAGAAAGGGTACATAAGTACATTACCTTTACTCATCTCTGTTGTTGAGAGTTTGATCCATAAGGTGATTATTTCTGTCATTACCAAAGCCTCACTCTATTAACTGGGGAGGGTATTTGAAGGTAGAATATTCAATTACAGTAAAGATTGAAAGGAAAAAAAAAATCATCCCACAGTCATGGTCAAGTTATTCATCTAGTCCAGAACACTGAAAAGTGACAATGCCAACTCCTTAGGTGGGAGAGTTGGGGAGGTAGTAAAAGCAGAAACCATAAACCCAGAAATATTCCCTGGGACCAATAAATCTTGCACTGTACCATTAAAAAACAAACAAAAAACCTCCCCGAAAACTGCAGGAAAATATTCATTTATACGTTAACAGCTTTTAAGAATGAAGTTTTCTGAATTCTAGAAATATATTTAACCTGTATTGAGTTTAATGTATTTGTTTTCACAAGTTATGGACAGAAAGATTTCTACTAAGAGTATTGAACTACCATAAGAGCTAAAGGCCTGAATGTCTAGATACTTTTCTCAGCCTGAAATAGTCTGATATTTGATAGGAAATTATTTATAGTTTATGTAATATATAATATACTACATGTAGTACAATATATTTTCTATAAGCATACAGTTATACTAAGCTTTTCTAAAAAATTATTATTATTTTAAGAAAAAACAGAGACTAAGGTGGCATCTTTCCAGGTACATTTCAGGGGAAATCCATGACCTCATGAATGAATTTTAACACTATAGTGAAATTTGGTAAAATTGGACTAGCTGTACATACTTTTAGAATGTGTGCTGCTATTATCCTGCTACATAACTATCAATATAACAGCAAGGGTTTTTTTCTTAGTTTTTTGCACATAAAAAGATTTTTTTCTTCATGATCAGTGACAGACCAGAAGAATTTCATTTGTCAATTTTGTTCATACTAGTAAGTGTCTTGATGCATGCCACCTCCTCCTCAGCTCATCCATCAGCTGCAGTAGTGCATCAGAGAGCCAGGATATGCAAGGAGTGAGGTATTATGATTCAGAGTAGATTCCTAAAAATAATTACTAAAGCAACACCACATCAACATTTTAAAATCAAGCATGCACATATACATTATATTCCAAAAGAAAAATTAGGAAGGAAGGATTGTTTTCTCTACAAACTTTCTTCACAACTACATTGGCTGAACTGTTCCATAGAGGTGAAACATTTCAGCTCTCTGGGTTTGAGTGATCATTTGATTTATGGCAGCATCAGGAACTACAAAGTGTTTGTCTCATGCTCTCAAAGAAGATTAAAAAAACCCTTTCAATTACTGTGCTGTCAAAACTAAGGAAGATTGCTTTTAACACGAGCCAGGATTCACACACACTACCGAGGCACACAATTAAAACTCTTTTACTGATACTACGAAGTGCGTCCCAGGGATTTAGTATGTGCTGAGGTTTCAGAAAAGGCCACAGCAGCAGGAACATTTCACCAAGTCAACCAAGGAGTACTTGCTACTCGAAACCTGATGGAATATGGATAGTGAACCTGTCCACAATAAGTGCAGACTGTGATGGATATTCTTTCTGTCACAAGGTCACGTGAGACTTAGAGTTACTGTGTCCACAGAAGCTCGTGCTCAAGATGCAGTGACAGAAATTGTTCTCAATGGAAAAGATGGCAGCTGTATGAGAGGTCATGCACTTAAAACAATGATATGTCAGAAGCAGCTTATCACTTGTATGGGAAGTGTCAGAAGCTGTATTATAATTTCCAAACTAAATTGAAGCCTTGATTTAGAATAGTTGCCTAAAGACTCAAGGAAAAACACAAAATAGATTTTAAAGGAAAAAAGTCATAAAGAAATTTCTTTGAACATTTCAAAATGGTTATTTGACCAGTTTACTTTGTGTTCTTTAAAATGAGAGCATTACTTGGACTTCTTTTTGCTTTTCTTCTACAGAAGATGTGCCTTCTCATAGAATGACCTGGATTTAGTTTCATTTCTGCAAAGCTGGCATAAAATCTATTTTCAGAAGTACTTAACTTGTACTAAATAAAAGCCAAGAGCTTTAAATGAAAGTGTGTTAAATCCATATGGCTCAAACCCAAAAGTAATGAATGTCTAAGCTAAGCACCAAAATGCCTTAAAAATAACACTGGGATAACTTTGTAAAGACAAATTTAATTTGGGTGGAATTACCCACATTTTATTTGCTACATGTAAACTTAGCCTGTATTGGGATTATATGGCAGGACAAGGGGGAATGGATTCAAACTGAAAGAGGGCAGGTTCCATTCCTGGCAGTGTTGAAAGCCAGGTTGCATGGGGCCCTGAGCAACCTGGACTAGTGGGAGTGTCCCTGCCCATGGCAGAGGGGTTGGGACTAGATGATCTTTAAGGTCCCTTCCAACCCCTTAACATTCTATGATTCTGTAAAACCTGTAAATATGATTATGAAAAACTGCACAGGGTTAAAAGGTTTAACTTGTAAAAAAAATAATAAGTACTTAAGGTTTTCTGTTCTCCGACTTAGTAATATTTTCTTAATACATTGAATGACAGATCTAAATGCTTTGTGTTGTTGGAAACAAGCTAGATAGATCAAAGTAGTACTGAAGAATCGTGTGTACAATAAAAATATTTGGAGTAAGTTTGTGCCAGCCAGTGTTCCAAAGAAACAAAAGCCTGATAATGCAGTTTGGTAGAAGAAACCAGTCTTCATATAAATCAAGCATAAAATGCTATATTCCAAAACTGTGACTACTTGAAGGAAATCTGATGTAACACACACTTTAATGACTACCATGATGAAAATCTGACCACAGAATCAAAACAAAGGATGACAGTTTGTGACAAAATTCAGTCATTCTCTTTTAAGGATCAGATTGAGAACCATGGACTAGCTTCATTCATACAGGCCTGAGGATAAGAATTGCAGAAGAGGTCACATGAAATAGCAATTGAACACTTCAGACATCTTCCCAGACTGCCCAAACAAAATGCCTGAGGATATTCTTGATAGGTTTGTTTCTTCTGATAATTCAGAGCTGTTCATCAAAAGGACCCTGATAAGTGAACTAGTCAATCAGATAAGAGTACACTTGGCATAAGTAAACTGGACTCCTCTGGAGCTGTGATACTGAAGAGGCACAGTATAGAAGGGGATTTGGGTAGTATAGCCTATTCCTGCTCTTCAGTCCCAAAGCCAACACCTGGTATAGGGCATCATCATGAGTGATCCAGTGTTTGAACATCAGTACCAGTACAACTTCTTCTGCAAGAAGTCTTGCTTCCAGTACTTTAAACTTTCAATTAAACACATGAAACCCAAACTATTCTAAATACCTGTAGCTTCCCAAAACCCAAATTTTTTAGCTCAGAGTGGAAAGGCTACAAGTAGAGTTATTCATGTAGGAAACAATGAAAAAGAAGCCCTCAGACTATATTATAGAGTCCAGGTGCATTCAGGCCAGAGAGAATTCATTAAAAGTTCAACATGCAACTTATGGGACTTCAGATGCCCTTCTGCAGAAATACAACAACTAATCACCAACCTTCCCCATGATAAACAAGCTTAGCTTCAGCTACTTGGCTGAATAAAGTTAATTTACAGAACGTTCAGGTGCCTGCATACTTTGCAAACAGATATTTTGACTGCAGGTATGGGCATGTGTGTAAGAGATTTTCCTCACTATTTATTCTAACTCCAGTTTCTAAGATGCTTCACAGTTATCCTAACTAGATCTACAAGACTACAAAAAAAAAAAAAGAGTATACTTAAATAAACTATTTATTTAGATAAACAGGTAATTTAAAAAGAAATACAACAAGACAATCACAAATCTTGGTTAAGTCTGGCTTAGTCAAGTCAGAACCCTGTTATTAAGGGCGTATTTTGCCAAACCCCAGTTTTGGCTGGAAGCATGCAGCTCAGACTAGCAGAATGCATTTGAACAGGTTCATGCCCTTCATTACTAAGAAGGGGGGGAAAAAAATCAGTTTAAGAATTAAAGAATAACAAAAAGCAGATGCTTTTTTTGAACATTAGAAAGGGAGGGGGGAATATCTAAAAGTGACTGATCATCTACTTCAAAAGGCAATAAAATTGGTGAGTTGCAGAAGCAGACCTTATAATCTGAACAGATGAAGAAATTGTGCTATTTCTTCTTCTGTACCCAACAGAATAAATTAAGCAGTGTAACAGGACTCATGGCAAAGAGTTTGTGTGGGGTTTTTTGCAGCTAAAGAGCGCTGAGAAACAACAGATTGGAAGTTATCATCTCACACCTACTCCTGCTAAAAACTTGTCTTTATCAAAAAATAATAATAATAAGGAAGTGGGGGCAGGGGAAGGGAAGGATTAAATTACCTGAAAGTCATCATAAGGGAACAGTAGCATCTCACGTAAAGGATCATTCAAAATCTGTGTTTTCCTCTGAACAATGACATTTTCATAGTCTATCGGTTCTATGAGCTTTGGTTTTGCCTGAGGGGAAAAAGAAAAAGGTAAAATAAATTCAGGTATATTGAGGAAAAATGACAGTTGTTGACTCATTTTAAGAAGTTACTCTTTTAAAGATTGGCAGAATTATATTTTGTCTACATCAAAAACATACAGTATTTGAAATGCAGACTTTATGTCATATCATATCATACAAATAAATCCAATTGATAATTAGAGACAAGGATGCTGTTTGCCCCAGAAGGAAGAAGCAATACTTCATAAAACACAATAAGGCAGAGCTTATCAGAATAATCATGTATGTATTCTCACAGAAAAAAAAAAAAAGAAATTACCAGTCTCTTATGTTGGTGGTTGCCTTTGTTTGATACTGCCCTGAAAGCTCTGATCTGGGTTTAGCAGGAATGAAAACAATCTTAGAGCAGAGATCTAGCTTTCTTTTAATTCAGCAGTAACCTGCAGTAGGGGTAGACTAATTGACATTCCTCCTTCTCTTTAGTTTTTCCGAAATTCCCATAGGCTGTCTACTTCCTCTTAATTGCACAAGTAGCTTTCTTCAGTTTCTAGGCATTGATTCAACATAAAAACCCCTTACCGCAGTCAAGGCATTACAGCTGCCCGTGTACAATCACATAGAGAAAAACCTTCACCCTGCCAAGCAATCTGTTAAGTGGTCAGATGGCAGGCAAAGCAGGTTTAGGCAGAGCTCTGAATGAGGCAGCACCGCCTCAGAGTGTGAAAACTAATGCAAAGCTGGAGTTACAATCTAGTTTGCACTTTCTGTAACTAAAATTGTGCACCACAGTATCGGACATAAAATTACAATTTTTTACAAGTAGCAATTATAAGAGAGTTTTCAATTGATGTTTTCTTAAAGTCATTGGTACTAATTTCAATGTCAGGTATATTAAACGTAACAGGAGCAGCAAGACCAGCTTCTGCCACCACTATAGGTAAACAGACAAGACAAGCTTTATATATAGTTTTGTATAACTCAAGATAATAACCTTTCAGATTCTAGTTGTACTGCACAGAACAAATATCTTTATCAGTAACCACTATTAATAATTAGTATATTAATAATATTCCTGAGAAACCTTAGAGGTGTTTTCTTTATCCAAAAGTGAACCAAATAAATTTTTCAAGGAATTAGGAAAGCTTTACTCAGAGAAAGTTACCAAGTTTTCAGGCTTAGTTCACAGGCTACTCAAAAAATACTCAACATTCCCTCATATCTACCACACAGTAGTTTTACTGGTAGGAAAAATGTGAGAACATAACAAAGCATAACATCTGAACAGGCAAAAAAAGCAAAGTGTGGAAATAAATCTACCAAAAATGATGAGCAAAATGTAGCTTTGTCAACAAAAATAACTACCATTTACAATCACACTGGAAGGATTTAGTTCATAAGCTATATAACAACATGATCAGCACAGACAAATACTTCTAGGGGCCATGGTGGAAAACTATGACGTTGAGTTTGACATCTTTCTCATCAGAGGAGACGGAGAACGGCTGTTCAGTTTGCTCTATATTGTACTCCGACACACTTTGAGACCTTAGCACCTAAACCCCAACTGCTGCTACATCTTCTTCTCTTGTTCATGAACATGATTTATCACAAAGCCATGAACTAACACCAGTGTCCACCAGAAAAGGCTTAAGTTTACGTTTGTGCACCCATCTGAGTCGAAGTGATTGGACCATTTAGCTCAAAAAAGCATAAGAAAAGCAGGTAAACACAACCTAAGAAAAGGTTACATTTTCGCTAATGTTCTATTTATACAAAATATTATAGTTGCAAGAAAAATTGCTGTTAAGTTTACATTTGAGTGTTCAGACTGCTACAATGAATCTCCAACTAATGAAATGGTAAGCTTCCTCAGCACCTTCTTTACCCAACTATTTGAAACACTTCCTAGACACTGACTCTGCTAAATTAACCCCTCACAAAATTTCAGGTCGAGCAGCCCCCTCCAAGAGATTGTCATAATCAGTTGTGATTCCAAAGAAATTCCAGTAACTTCACCTACCCTCTCCACGTCTTCACTAAGGAATAAATTTTCTTCCTTAAGCATGAGACAGGGATAACAGGGATAAAGGAAGAGCCTTTCAAATTTTACTGCTCTGTAAAGCAAGTACATGTTAACACATAATTCAGAAAACAAGACACCCTTTGCCCTCCTTTCTCACACTTCCAGTGTAAGTAACAGGTCTCTCTCTACCTATCAGGCAAGCAAGAAGACCCTGCCAATCACTGAGCTTTTGAGCTCTTATGCGTTACACTCTTATGTCAAAGCAAGGTTTAGAGACTACTAATATAGTGGCCAAGTCACTCCATTTGGTCAAGTTGGCCTTTACCACATGACCACTCTTTCTCGAGGGTTTGTCAGGAGAAATGATACACAATATGCTGTGGTGGCAGGTTGGTTTGAGAGTGGTGCAGCATTACTGACCTTTAGGAGAAAGAAAAAAGAATACTGCAAATTAAACTGGGCCTAAAAAACGAGCAGCAGAGAAAGACCATTTGATTTGTGTCTACAATCAGTTCTCATCGGTTAGCTAAAAAGATTTGGCTTCACAATTGGCTTAAATTAATTGAAAGCAGGGCTGACACTAGAAGGACCCTCCCTCTCACAGCACAGAAGTTCCAGAGTCTTCTCACACTGATACCAGCAACTGAGCCAGAGCTTTTGTGACAGATGAGAAGGTGATCTAGCTTGAGAGAGTTCCTTCCAACCAGTGAGCTTTCAGCCAGATTGTGGCTCTGAAATGCTGATTAGATGCCTGTGTGACCGCTTGTGGCAATTTGAGGAGCTTTTCAAAGGAGAGAATAAACATTTGCGTGGTCAATACAGTCAGAAAGTTCACATATCAGGACATCTACTATCCGAACTAGCGAGTAGTTAGATCACAGCACCAATTCCACAACTTGGTAGCAAGGGAAAGTTGTCATCTCAAAGGGGTAGTGGATTTTTACATGGTGCTGCATATGATCAGCATTCTCTTCCACTTCTCCCTGGTGCTGAAGAGCTACATTCATCCTCCTGTTAGTTCTCTTTGGAAGATGATACATGAAGACTGGAAGAAAGCTAGTTCTGGATTCTCCCATTTTACCAGCAAAAATAGAGGAAAATGATTACTTTTAAAGCCAATGTAACTAAAATTATTTCATGGGCATGCACACACACATACAAATCACTTTTCTAACACATCTAATTCAAAAACCAAAGATGCATACACTGCAGCTTCAAAAATCAGCCAATTCGTTGCAAATGCCTCTCTCTATCCTGTAGTCACAGAACTGGTTCATCATAACCATAAATTTTGCGAAAAGGAATCTTAAAAGAATAAAATCTTTCCTTACATTTTGTTTGTATGTTGTAAACACAAGATTTAAAAAAAGAAATAGAATCCTCCCTCATTAAAAGCTTTTACAGAATCTAAAGCTCACTGTAGCCTAGGTCTTGAATACAGATCTCTCCTATTTAGTCAGTAAGGTACCTGATCGGCAGAAATATGACTTATGTAAAAATTTATGAAGAATTTGCTTCCTCACGTTTCTCCTAAATGTTACTCATTGCTTTGTTAGTCGTTCGTCAGATTCAAAAGGAAGAGGATGTTTTATCAGTTTGAACCAGATACAAAAACAGAAAACAATAAACAGCATGCTGATACTGGCATTTAGCCAAACATAAAACAGTGCAAGGAAGCAGATTCTCTCTCAGGCTCTTCTATACTAAAGAAAAAAACATCTGGCCTATTATTTCATGTAACATCAGAGAAAATATGTTGGGTAGTTATAGTATTGTTGAATATGATTTATGGACCAGCTGACACAGATAAAACTCAGCCCAGTCAAAACCGCAACATCAAGTTTATAGGCACTAAAAGTCAGTCTTTCAAACAAGGCTTAACTTTTCCGATTAATCTGCAGCCAATGGCATTTTTATTTCTGTAATCTAGGAAAATGCTAAGAGCATATGGCTTCATGGGGTCCAGCACTCGAGCCAGCCAATGCTATATTTTTTGGAACATAAAAGAGCAAATTATCTGCCATACCACTTTGGTTCTTCCCTGAGTATTATAAGCACAGAAACTTATCAGAAATAAGAAGTATTTCAAAAAAGCAGTCATGACACCCACACAGTAACCAGAATCTGCCATATTATAGTTAATCTGCCAGAATACAGTTTATATATTTGGACGAGCAGTGTCAAAATTCATCGTTGAATTAAGAAATTTTAAGTTAAGAGTTCAATGATTGCCTCCATTACATATTACAGGGAAAAAACCCCACAGTACATTTTTCTTGTATGCTTAAATTGAGAGAAATGTTATCTTTCAATTGTCATCTCAGAAAGCAAAAGATGGTCAGGTTAAGCACACTGAATATTGTTAGCCACCTGCTACAAAACATCATTTACCTTATAAAAACATATTTACCATATACACCTGCAAATTAACAAGTTCCCATAAAAAGTGGAGCTACAGGCACTAGCAGGAAACAGCATAAAAATAGATGAATAGGTGTTATGTATTGCTCAACACTGGCCTGAGGCAAGCCACTGTGGAAAAACAATAAGATTATTTAATACTAAACATGGGTAACAGCTCCCTATTATCTCATGTCAATAAACATAAAATCAATTGCCCAGGTTGAGGTTTTAAAAATTAATTGAAAAAATTATTTGTATCCTAGAGCTTATTTTTAATTATTACATTTTACACTGCCAGCATGTCTCCAAGCAGAAAGATGACCTCCAAAAGATTCAACTTCCCAGAAACATCATCTGTTTTGATAAGCAGTTACTACTTCTGACTATCAAAGTGCAGTTGGGCAGCACACACACTCATCTAGTCATTTCTACAACAGTTAGCACAACAGCAGTTCATCCTAAGCAGGGTTTTGAGGCACCACCTGAAAAATCTAAATGCTTTCTCCATGGGCTCTTCTTGCTTGTTAGCCTCAAAAGAAAAGTTATGACACAATCTAATTCAAATCGCAGGAAAACAAGAAA